GGCGACGACGGGGCGCGACGCGGACGTCGTCGCGCTCGCGCGCGAACGGCGAACGATGGAGCGGCGACTCGTGTGCACGCATCGTCACGTCGTCTCGAAGGTTGACTTTCGGAGCGAATTCGAAGATGGTGCGAGCGACGGGATATCGGAGGATGCGTTTCGGTGGGCGCACGCGTGCGTGATGACGCGCGCGTTCCACGCCCCTAACGCGATGTCGGAAGATCCGTGGCGAGACCTGTGCGAGCGCACGGACTTCGTCGGGGTCTTCATGGCGCCCGTATTAGATTTCGCCAATCACAGACGCCCGCGCGAGGTCGCGTACGAGGTCACGAACGGCGAGGACGGTGAGGGATTGGTCACGGTGACGGCGCTGAAAGATTTCAAAGAGGGCGATTTCATGCGCATCTCGTACGGCGCAAAGGACAACACGTCGCTGTTCTCGCGATATGGGTTTTGCGTCGAATCGAACGTTGAGCCGGATGGATCGAGCAACGACGTGTTTCGCGTCGATAAGAGCGATTTCAGACGTTTCGTGCGCGAAAGCGACGAGGAACACGCGGATGGTGAAGTCGTCGAGCTGAGAATGGCAAAAACGGTAGAACACGCGGATGGTGAAGTCGTCGAGCTGAGAATGGCAAAAACGGTGGACTACATGTACGCGCCTTTCGCCGAACTCCTTGACATCGCTCGAGTGTACTTCATTCAGAGCGATATTTCGTTCGCTCAGATTTGCGCCGACCAAGACGCGCCGGCGGAACGCGACGACGCCGTCTGGGATCGCGACGAGGACGTTTTCGGCCTCGAAGGTGGCGAAGCCGACGACGCGGATGAGGCGAACGCTCTCATGTACGGCGATATTGATGACGCTGATAACGAAGATGCCAACGGCGCTGGCGATGAAGATTACACCGATGCGTTCGCGTCACGCGCCGATGACGCCGCGCGTCTGCGCGTCGAAGTCAAATCACTTCGAGCGTTAGCGGAGTACTTGTCGACGCTTCAGCTGGAGCGCAAAGAAGACGAACCGTCGACGGACGCCGATACAAAGCCACTGTCGGCATACGTACTTCACCAGCTGAAGATTTGGCGATTTTTGCGTCGGCGTACGTTGGACACGTACGCGCTCGCCGCGCGGCAACGCGCGGACGACCTGCTCGTCAAAACTTCCGGATTGGAGGATCGTCGCCCGCACAAGCGCGCAAAGAACGCATCCGACGATGACGACAGTTTCAAACTCACCGAGTCTCAGCGCGTCGCGTTCGCCGCGCTCGATGCTCGCTTGGAGGACGACGCGGAGGCGAAGAGCGCCGCCGGCGTCATCTGCGACGCTCGCGCGCGCGTACACGGAGTCCTCTTCGATTCAACTTGAGACGGGCGCTGCGTCCAATCTCCCGAGCGTACGTCGAACGCGTGCCCGCACCACCGGTGCGCGCGATCATCCACGCGTACCACCGCGCCGCTCGATTCGCCCGTCTCCGCCGCGTCGACGTCGCCCACCCATGTATCATCACACCTCGACGTGTACGATCGCCAATGTCGACTCTCGCGCGCCCGATTCCAGTCCGCGTCCGAGCGCGCGCGCGCGCGTCCGCTTCGGACGAAATCATCGGACGATCGTCCCCGCCGCTGTTTCGCTCGCCGTTCGCCCCGGCCGAGCCGTTCTGGACGAAGCGCTGGAAAGAATCCGTGGATGAAAGAATAAAGCACGGGACGTACTGCGATTACGTCATCGACGCGCGCGACCGTGCGGAGGTGTTTGGGTACAGACTTGGCGTCGTCGCGTGCGCGGTGGGGCTCGTCGCGAGCGCGGTGGGGAGCGGACGGGGCGCGTCGGGAGACGCGGCGGCGAACGTCGCGTGGTTCGTCGGCGGCGGCGGATTAGGATTGAGTCTCTGGTTGATTCACATGTACGTCTCGGAGATTAGAAGTGCGATGCGGTTGATGTGGGGGGTCGGGTACGGCGCGAGCGCGCTGATCGCGGGGACGAGCGGGGAGTCGGCGCCGGCGTACGTGCTCGAGCATCCGAGCTCGATGCTCGCCGTGGGTTGGATGTTCGCCGCGCTCACGGGGTTGGCGTTCAAGGAAGGGATGTGCTACGGGAAGCCCGAGGCGGGGGCGTTATTTTTTGGTGTGCCGTTGATGTGTCTGTCGCATCTGTTCGGGGCGCCGGAGGAGTTTCAGAGTTTGAGTGCGACGGGCGTCGGTGTCTTGCTCTTAATTTTCGCGGCTAGGAAGTTTACTCAACCAGTCGCAGACGACGTCGGTGACAAATCAATCTTCATGTTCAACGCGATCGAGGATCCGGAGGAGAAAGAGCGCTGGCTTGTAAACGCTCGAGCGTCCGGTCGGACTTACGTGGATGAAGACGTGTAGATGGCTCTGTCAGATCGCCGTGACTTGTTAATTTTACAAATGTTTTCGCTTTCGCTCTCGCGTCTAATCCGAATCGTCCGAGTCGTCCGAGTCGTCCGAGTCGTCGTCTGATTCACCCGAGTCATTGTCTGAGTCGTCATCCGATTCATCCGAGTCGTTGTCCGAGTCATCGCTCCCCGTGTAACTGCTGGACTCGCTGTCGCTATCGCTGCTGTCGTCGCTAGAACTGTAAAATCCACCCGTTCCCAGACCATTGGACTTTCCGTTGCGCAACGCCAGGGCGGATGAATCCCCGTCTCTGCCCGAAGGTCCGGAGAAATACTGCTCGCGAACGTTCGTCGGCGGTTGCACGCTCGGGTGTTTCACCAGGGGTGTGTATCCAGGGGCCACGTGCTCGAGGAAGTGCGACAGAGAACCAAGTGCGTGCTCGCAGGTCTGCATCGCGGGCGAAGGAAGCTTCGGCTCGGGCTTCTCGCACAGTATGATCGCATCACCATGTTGCTTGACCGAGCTCGGCGTACCATCAACCGGGAACAGCGCGCGGAAAACGCGAATGCGATCGCGCATGTCGACCGACGGATCCGAAGCTCCAAGAGCAAACACATACTTCAGCGAGGTGGACATCCTCAACGGGTCCTGGACGTACATCTTGCAGCACGTGTTGACGATTTGCTGTCTCGTCATCTCGTGTTCGTCCGCGAAGCCCTTGACGACTCGCCGCATCATCTGCGTGGCGAGCTCAAAAAACTTTTCGCGAAGCTCCTTGTCCGAAGCCTTGATATTCTCCTCGTTCCCATCGAAGATCTCTCCACCGGCGAGCCAAATAACCGCTGATCTCGCTTCGGGTGCCATGAGTTGATCTAGTCGCCGCATCAAACGCATGACTACGACGATGTGTTCCTTCGGGTTTTGCTGCACCAGCGCTCGAATGACCACGACGGCCTCCGATGCTACCTTGGGGCTCGGATGGAGCGACAGCTCAAGCAACGATCGGATGCACACCGACGCGATTTGTGGCATGATAGCTGCACAGCGGCCGATTGCTCTGATCGTTAGCGCCACAAACTCGTAGTTGGACGAGCGCAAATACGCCTGTAACTCTCGCAAGAGCAGCGATGCGTTGTCACTCGTGACGATGTGCGTGAGAATTTCAAGCTTGAGCGCTCTGACGTCCAACGGGTCCTTCGGAGTGATGAAGAACGCGTTGAAGTGCGACTGAAACAACAGTGGTTGCGTGGCAACCATGGTGCAAATATTCTTGACGACGATGTGCTGCGACTCGGGCTTACTGTGCGCTGCAAAAACCAACGCACGCACAACCTTCGGCAAGTCCGCCGCTGGGCTCAAGTAGAAATGCAGAGCGGCGACGGCCATGACGACCCCGGAATTTTGCGATTGCAACATCGGACGCGTGCAGCGCAGCAACAATCGGTGATCTTCGTCCAACCAGCCCGGACCTCGGCTCTCTGCCGTAGCACCGCCAGGCTTTTTCTCCTTCTTCGCCTTGTCCTCGTCGCTGTCACTGTCCTCGTCGCTGTCTTCTTCTTCGTCTGAATCTGAGTAGAAAGCCGCACTGCTGGCAACAATGGATTGAATACCCGCATTACTTTCCTCATTGTACCACGGTTCTGTAGAAGGAAGGGCGAGTTCAAGTTTCTTCTCACCGTGCTTGCCCGAGACGGCACCCAGCTCACGCGCATGCGTGTCGGGCGCCAAAAACTGCGAGCGCGCGTACCTCAGGAGAACTTCGCACAGCAAAATCTGTCCCCACTCATCCATATCTACCAGCATGCGGCAAATCTTGCGGTAATGTCTGTGCAGCAAATCGATCCTACTCGGGCACACCTCGGTGAAGGCCATCACCGCGGAGGAGAGGACGAAGGGCGTGCTATCGCGCAGCATCGTCTCGATGATCTCGATCAACTCCTCCTGACGTCCGTTGTCCATCCTATAAATCTTCGGCACGGCGTGCGCGGCTGCCTTACGAACGTACGGGCTCGGATCGACCGCGCACTTTCGCGCAGCTAAGATGACCACTGGCACGATCACTTGAATGCGAATGCTTGACATCACTCGCAACGCCAACGCCCGCACTCGCGGGTTCGGATGCGCCAAATCCTTCTGAAACGAGTTAATGGACAAAAGCGCCTCCTCGGGCTTTTGATCCGCGGTGCGCACGAGGAACATGTACACCAACACTTTCACCTCGAACGACTCGCTCACGATGTTCACCACCACCGACGGGAAGAACACGCTCACGTCTCGTCCCATCGCCATCAGCGCGATCAGCTTCTTCAACGCATCTAGTTTATCCTTGGTCGACGACGATCGCAGCTTCGTATCGAGCTCGCGTTGCTCCTCGGCGATCTGCGCGCGTAATCAAAAGACGTCGTCTTTGTCAGTCTCAAGAATTCACCACTCATTCGCTCCCGACGTCGGTTTCCATCGTCGCTCCTCGCCGTCGTCGACGATCAAAGTCATCATCCGTCCCCGCGTCGCCCGTTTCCGTCTCTCTCGACCTGAAAACGTCCGCGAGAGACGTGCGTGTGCTCAGCGTCTCGGAATCCAGCGCGATCGTCCACGCGATCGTCCACGCGCGTCGCTCGTCGCGCGCCGTCCGCGCGTCGTCGTCCGCGCGCACCTGCGCGTCATCGACGAACTGTCGGTTACCGTGCCCGGGAGGGACGCCCATCGCGCGTCCGTCAGCGCGCGGCGAGGTCTGAAGCGCGAGACGATGGTGTTGCTCGAACCCGGCGGGCGACGGGGGACGAATTCATTTTCATCCACGTGATCGGGGACGATGATTCCGATGATGTCGACGCGGCCGTGGGTGCCCCGGAAGTTGAAGAGGAGGTGCGTAGGGAGGACGTGATGGGTCTCGACGCCGCGGCGTATCATCATGACTGATAATAGTACTGATGTTAAAAAGTCACCGCGCGAGCGCGCGACGATCGATTCCGGCGTGCTAGTGTTGTCTACGTGAGAAGTCGTCTCGACGCATCTGCGCCGACGGACGACTCTCGAGAAGATTTGAGAGTCGGTTGCGCGACAGCTCAGAGCTTCGTCGAAAACTGGACGCCGTACTTGTACTTCATCTGCGGCGTTTGAAACGGAGTGAAAACGTCAGTCGCGACGCTCGATTTGCGCGAAAAGTATGTCAATACTATTTATGGCGCGCCGCGCACGGTGGAACCGCGGGCACCATCTTCGAGCATTGTTGATTTTGGCAACCCGCGGCAACCATCCGTACACGGCAAGTGCGGCGATTGTTTGACAAAAGGCGCCGGGAAAAAAATAAATCGCGCTCATAAACCGAAAAACAGAAAAGAATCACGCACCGTCTTGTCAACTTGCGCGCAGAGCGTGGCGTTGGTCTTCGGAATCAAGTTGCCGAGGCACGCCTGGATGGAGAGAGTCGGCGCGAACTCGGGCGCCACCGGGTTGGAGACGACCGCCTTCAAGGAGTGGCTGTCCATCTTCTTGGAGTAGCCGATAGACGCCGTCGCTGTCTTCTTCACCGTCACCTCGGCACCGACAGTTTGCTTGTTGTCTAACCCAGCCACCGCGCTGATCTTGAACGTCTTAAGCTGATCCGCCGCGGTGAGCGCGTACGTGATGTCGCCTTGCTTGGATTGCGCGGCGATGGTGTACGCCAGCGGGGAAGCCGCCTTCAACGTGGTCGTGGCGCCGACTGCGACGCCACTGCCGAGGGCGTAACACACGCTCGCCTCGCACTTCGGCGCGGCGTAGTTGATGACGTCAGCCTTGATTCCGAACGGACCGGCGAGAACCGAGGTGGAGAGCTTGAAGCTCTCGAGGTCCTGCACCGTGCCGCCCACGGAGAGCTTCCCGTTGGGGACGACGGACGGAAACGTCGCGGTCACCTTCGCCTTGGCATCTTGGTTCAATTCGATGTCAAGAACTTGATCGGCGACCGTCGCGTTCACCTTGATGTCCCCGCTCACCGCCTCACCCTTTTGCGTGACGGAGCCCGACACGCCCTGTGAAAATCGAAAGATCAACCCCACTCGTCAGCGTCCGCCTTCTCACGACGTCTCGCGTCGCGCATCGCGCGTCGCGTCATCTCGCGCGCGATCGAAATAAATCACTCGAGCACCACTCGCGTCCATCACCGTCGTCGCCGTCGCGTCGTCGTCCAGCCAAGGCCCTGTCCCTCGCGCTCCGCGCGCGCGCCCCGTCGCGCGATCACGTCGTCGCGCGCACCGTTCCAGCCGCCTTCGTGTCAAAGGCAAACTTATGATCATAATTGAATCCACCCGAGAGCAAATCTACGAATCACCCCCGCGCGTCCGTCAGTCACGCGTCTTCACCCACCCCTACGCCGCGCGCGTCCGCGCCCGCGTCCGACCCGGCGTCCCCCCGTCCGATCCCCCATCCCTTCACCGTCCCCGACGCGCGCGCATCGATCGCGTCATCGCTCGCACCCTTCGCCGTCTTCGCGATGTCACCGTAATACTTCGCCATCGGTGCGCGCGTTCGTCCTGCGCGCGATGCGATCTACGGTCAGATGTGATTGTTTAAACGCGATCGACCGTCGCATCGTGGTCCATCGCGTCGTCGTCGTCACCGCGCGCGCGTCGTCGCGCGCGCGGGACGACGCGTCGTCGCGCGCGTCGTCTCGCGCGCGCGCGCGCGTGGGCGCGCGACGCACCTCGACGATGTGTCGCGACGTCGACGCGCGCGCGCGATCGGGCGACGCGGTGGCGGGCGAGGGGGTCGGCGAGGAGTCATGACTCGCCGATGGACGCGGCACGCGTCGATCGCCCTCGACCCCGCGCGGGTGCGCGTGTTGTCACGTACATGGGTTATACTCCCTCAGTGTATTGGTATGAAGAGATCGTACTGTGTGATTATTATATCTGTGTACGTCGTCGATCGCCCTCGATCCCGCGGGCGTCGCGGGAATCGCGCGCGCGCGACGCCGAGACGGCGACGACGCCGTGAATGACGCGCGCGCCGACGTCCGCGCCCGCGTCCGCCCTCGCCCGCGTCGCGCGCGCGGGAACGCGGGCGACGCGGGGCGGAATGAGTGAAAGCCCGCGCGGACGCACTCGGACGCGGGCGAGCGCGCCCTCGGTCCTGGTCCCGATCGCGACAGGGGTCGAGGAGATGGAGACGGTGATCATCGTGGACGTCTTAAGACGCGCGGGGGCGCGGGTGACGATCGCGAGCGTGGGAGAGGCGGCGGAGACGGAGACGTGGGTGGAGTGCTCGAGAGGCGTGCGCATCGCGGCGGACGCGCGCCTGGGGGACGTGGCGGAGACGGAGACGTTCGATATGATCGCTTTGCCGGGTGGAATGCCGGGGGCGACGAATTTGGCGAAATGTGCGGTGCTCACGCGAGCTCTTGAGCGACAGTTGGAGCGACAGAAAACGGTGGCGGCGATGTGCGCGTCTCCGGGCGTCGTCTTGGCCCCGCGCGGGTTCTTAGATGGACGCGCCTGCACCGCGCACCCGGCGTTCGTGAAGGATCTTCCGAGCGATGCGAGCGCGGAGGGTCGAGTCGTGATCGATGGGGACGTGATCACGAGTCGAGGACCCGGGACGGCGATCGAGTTCGCGCTCGCGCTCGTCGAGCGGCTCTTCGGCGCGGAAAAGGCGCGAGAGGTCGCGGGACCGATGGTCTTGCCGCAGCACGCCGATCGAACGCGCGTCGCGAATGAATGGCGACTGGACGACGCCACCGTGCTCGAGAGCGGCTCTTAGGACGAGATGGATCGACGTCACGTCACGCACTTTTACCCCTGTAAAGACAAAGCGACATTCTCCACTCGTCGTCGCCTCACCCTCTCGCGCATGGTCCGGCTCGATCCCGCCGCCGAGGTGGTGCTCGATTTTATCCGAGCCCTATGTCATCACACTTTGGTCGCACATAACCGCTTCGTCGACGACGGCTCGCGCGTGAACTTTCTCGGCGCGCGCCTCAGGGACGTCCCGGCGCGCAGGAGAGAAGAGTTTGATGATTGGATCGGCGGTCTGTTCGATTCCTTGAGAGACAGGGCGTCGGGAGGGAAGCCGCACGTGGTGACGCTCGCGCTCGATCGCGATGGCGCGGTGGAGACGGCGATAGATTTCTCGTTTAGGGTGAAGACGGAGCGGGACGGCGGCGAGAGCGCGGCGGCGGCGGCGGCGGCGAGCGCTAGAGACGCGCTCGGGACCTTAGCGGCGAGATTCGTCGTGGCGCTTGACGACGAGATATCACGCGCGCGAACGCGAGAGGGTGGCAAGATCGGCTACGACATCACGTGCGTTGGTCCAGAAGGCTCGGAGCCGCCGAGCGGTTGGCGCGTGGACGAGACGTCGATCGACGTGCCCGGTGGCGAGCGCGTGAGCATCGGTAAGGGCGCGTGCGAAACGGACGCAATTGAGGTCGACATATCGATGCTCGTTCGACGACGGTGACGTTTGATTATCCATGCGTGCTGTATTATCATGTTTTGGGCGAGCTGGTAGCCGTTGTACAAAAAGCTGTAAAAGAAATGTCTGTTGAGCATCTCATCGCGCCGACGCGCTCGCATCGTTGGGATCGTACGTGCTCACTGAGCCCGTGCCGAAGTTCACGACACAGTCTACCAGACCCTCACACGAGCGACCTGCGAGATCTTCCTCGATCTCGGTCTCGCACACCTCATCGCCGCATTCGCCGCTCATCGCGAACAACGCCTGTTTGCTCGACGGCGATCGCAATCCGTTTCCAGGGCGCTGACAGAACTCCATCGTCTTCATGTGTTCGGCCTCATCGTTTCGCACATTCACGAAGACGTCGTACAGGTTATCGATCTTCGGTCTCCGCGCCCCTTTCTCCCCGGTTTGGAACTCGTCGAACAGGTACAAGTCGCCCTTGGTGTAATACGCCACCGCCACCCGCGGTGCCGGTGTCTTCTTCAAAACCTCCTCGTTTGCCTCAAGAAACTTATCGTACGTCGCGTACGCGTGACTCTCCACCTGCTCGAGTAAATTATACGCCCACCGAGGCGACACCAAGTACTGCGCGACGCAAATCCAGTAATACGCCACCGCCACGTGTTGGGCGAAGAACCGATCTCGCCAAAGCTCCGCCCCGCCCAAGGATTCCATGATCAACAGGTGATGATACTCATTCATCGTCTCCGCGAAGTGCACCTTCAGGTAATCCGCCCGTCGCCACCACCCGAAGGTCTCGTACAGGTGCAGGACCGACATGAAGCTAAAGTACGGGACGCGCGCCACCGTCTCCAGCGCGTGAAACCGCGCGTACGATCGTCCGGCGTAGAGATAATCGATCACCGCCACCGCGCTCGCGATCAATCGCTCGTTCACCGCCCGCTCGGCGTTCGCGAGGAGCGAGTCATCGCGCTCGACGCTCGAGACCGTCGCATCGGCCTCGCTGTCTTTGACGCTCCGCGCGCGCGCGCGTCGCACGTTCGCCTCGCGAACCCGTCTCGACGCGATCGCTCGGCGCGGTGAACTCGCGCGCGCCGTCTGCGCGAGCGAGACGCGTCGAGACGCCATCGCGCGCGCGTGTGACGACGGAAGTCGAGCGAATTTTGAACATCGTGCCAACCTGTCGCGCCAATCGTCGCCGCACACGTCGACGAAGACGTGTGCGCGACGTCGAAGACGTCGAACGAACGTCGATGGGTGCGATGGAGGCGAATCGCGACGGCGACGACGCGCGCGTGCGGGCGCGCGAGGAGAACGAACGCATCGCGAACGAAGAGAGCGAGCGCGTTCTGGACGACGCCGCGCCGCTCCTGGGCGGTCCCGCGAGCGCGTCGAGGGCGAACGCGATGGGTAAGAGGGAGTTCTTCGGTCAGCCCCTGGCGTTGGTGCCGCTGGGGGCGACGGAGGCGTGGGAGCGGTTCGGGTACTACGCCGCGCGGGCGCTGTTGGCGACGTACGCGCACGCGCGCTTGCGGGATCCGAATTTTGACGTCGAGCGCGTTTGGGGAGCGCGAACGTTGGCGAAAGCGTGTACGGGGTACGACTTCGGGGTTCACGTGGATGCGAACGACGTCGGGGGTTTGCGGGTGCGAGACGCGGCGGCGACGAGCGCGAGCGCACGGTTGTACGGGACGTTTGCGGCGGCGAGTTATCTCATGCCGGTGTTCGGTGGCGTGATCAGTGACGCGATGCTAGGAGCGCACAGGAGCGCGGTGATCGGTGCAACGGTTATGGCGGTTGGGTACGCGGGGATGGCGACGGAGTGGGCGTTTTTACTCGGCATGTTAGCCGTGTGTGTGGGCAACGGAGCGTTCAAGCCTTCAATGTCGACGCAGTTGAGCGCGCTGTACGACGCGAGCGATCCTCGTAGGGACGCGGGATTCAGTATCTTTTACTTTTGCATCAACGTGGGGGGGTTCTTCTCGCCCTTGATCGCGGGAACGGTGCGGGTGTACTTCGGATACGAAGCCGCGTTTGCGAGCGCGGCGGTAGGCATGTGTTGCGCGCTCGTAATTTACGCGTCGAATCGAAAGCTAGTGAAAGAGGCAACGGTGATCAAGGATAGGGAGCGTAGCGTCGATCGAAATAACGATGACGAGGAGTTTGGCGGTGCGACGCTCGACGATGACGAGGCGTCTGACGAAGAATCTCCCGACGGATTTGGCGCCAAGCTCAGAGAGATGTCGCGGGTGGCGCAAAGAAACCCGAGCGCCATGCTCGCCGTCGGCGCCGTCTGCGCCGCGGGTGTCGGGTTCTCGGTAGTGTACGAGCAACAAGGGAGCACGATGATGCTCTTTTCCGACGAGCACGTCGATCTGCACGGCTTACCGACCGAGTTTGTCGCTGCATTGAACCCACTCTTCGTGCTCGTATTCACGCCGGCGGTGACACGTCTGTGGGATTGGCAGGCTCGACGAGACGCTGAGCCGCATCAGATGACGAAATTCGCCATCGGGTGCGCTCTTCTTGCGATGTCGTTCGTGGTTCTCATGTTTGGCGCCCTTCCGATCGATTCCCATGCCTCACCAATGCGAGTGAGCGTACTCTGGATCGTCCTGACCCAGATGCTTCTCACCCTTGGAGAGCTCTTCTCCTTGCCGGTTGCCCTCTCGTACGTGTCTAAAATCGCCCCGCACGGCTTACTCAGCGCCCTCATCGGTCTGTGGTTCGGTTCGTCCTTCTTCGGGAACTACTTCAGCGGCATCTTGGGCTCCACCTACCCCGAGTTCTCCACTCCGAGCGCATTCTTCGCCGCGCTCGCCGCAATCGCCGGCGGCGTCGCCGTCGTCCTCCTCATCGCCAGCGCTCGCCTCCGACGAACCGCCCCGGGGTGAACAGACGCGCGATCATTCGTTCACATCTAATCTGTTGTACATTACACACCAATCGCCTTCGAAAACCTTGACTACGATCCTCCGCGCTCGCGCTCCTTTGCCGCTCGCTCGAACGCCCGCTCGTACGCCTCTCTCCCGACGCCCTCCGCCGTCGTCGTCAACGCCTCCCACGTCCGCGTCCGCGCCTCCTCCAAAACGCTTCCCTCGCACTCGCGATAGAGCGCCTCGATGAGCTCGTTCCTCGACGCCGCTCTCGCGCGTTCGCTTCGTAAAGTTGAAGAACCTCTGACGGCGAACTCGGTGAACGTCTTCATCCGTTCGTCGTTCGCGATCTGTTCGATCGTCTTCGCGCGCAACGCGTCGAGGGCACCGTCGCGCTTGAGGGCGGTGATGACGTCACGCTCGAGGTCCAGGTTTCGAGGTAGCGAGGGCGGTGGAGTCATGGTGTGCGGGGCGCGGGCGTGGGCGTTGGCTGAGGTGCGTCGTTCCGATGATGGATCAAAGAGCTACGCGGTCCTATCGACGCTAGCGGGCGAAGGCCCGACGTCGGCGTCGAATAATTGGCGGTTCCACTCGAGGAGCCACTTACCGAGGGCGTAGTACAGCGCGCCGTGGCGGACGATGTAGAGGAAGACGGAGAGGACGCCGGCGCGCGGGCCGAGGACGACGGCGTCGTGGAGCGTCTGCGCCCAATCCGTGCCGTCTATCCCGAGAAGAAGCGGGATGATGGCGTAACGAAGGGGCGATGCGTTCGCTGGCGGGCGAACTCTCCAGGCGTCTCGCCACTCGACGTCGACGACGTCCATGTCTAACTTATCGCGGGCGCATTTGACTAATCCGGGCGCGTGCAAACCTCCGTACAAGAGGTTGACGCGATCGATTTCGGGGGCGTTGAACGCTTTCCTCACCCCGTCGATCGCGACATCGTTTCGTCGAGCGACGAGAACTGGTTCATCCGACCCACCGCCGGCGGGTCCGCGCGCCTGCGCGCTGACGATCATCTGCGCGAATGCTAACCTGCGCGCCGAGAGCAAATCGCCGTTCGCGCAACAGTCCACCATGGCGCCCAAGACGTTGGACGGCCGTCCGCCGGCCCATACCCAATCGAGCAACAGCAAGTGAGCCTCGGGACACGGCACGAGCCAACAGCTCAATCGCGTGAACAACCTCGCGGGATCTCTCGCGCCTGAGCGTCCAAACGCCGTCACCGCCATCGCCTCCAGCGCCGGCGGCAGCGTCGCCACCGCCGTCTTCGCCTTCCCGCCACCCCCGGCGAGCTCTCCCGCCTCCTCGCGAAGCGCGATCAATTCCTCTCGCGTGACGTCTGCGATGAACCATCCGTTCTCTCGCGCGTCCAAGACGTCCAACTGCGCCGATAATCCGTGCGCCGCCGCCAGCGCCTTCGCCTCCGCCGTCGGCCCCAACTCCGTCCCCAACCTGAACAATTTAACCCCACGCCCATCCACGCTTCCATCGATCAAATTCGCCCTCGACGTGATCAACTCCACCAGCGTCGCCGCACCCTCGCGTTCGCGCGCCGCGAAGTCGCGCGAGACGCCTCTGTAATACTCCTCTCCCCCGTAATGCACCAGCGCGCACACCTTGAGCTCTCTTCCCCTTCCCGACGTCGACGCGGTCGCGCGCGCGCCCAATCGCGGGCGCAGCGTCACGGTGGCGCTCTGTAACGCCCACGTCCCATCCTCGTCATCTCGCACCAGTCGCAAGAATTGCGACGTCGCGGCCGAGTCATCGTCCGGCGCGTCCACGCGCGCGTCGACCCGTCGCCGTCCACGCGCGCGCGCGAGGCGCGGAAGACGTCGACGCGCGGGCGACCATCGGGCCACGGCCGCGACGTCGCGCGTCCGTCGCGCCATCGCGCGCGCGTCGACCCGTCGCGCGCGATGGTCGTCACGGTCGGCGATTATTGTCATCTATGTACATCTCCAATACGATGTATGTATGCGTACGAAAGGCGTCTGAAATACCATGTATACACGAAGGCGTCACAGTCGGCGATTATTTACATCTATGTACATCTCCAATACGATGTATGTATGCGTACGAAAGGCGTCTGAAATACCATGTATACACGAAGGCGTCACAGTCGGCGATTATTTAGATCTATGTACATCTCCAATACTGTGTATTCATACGTACGAAAGGCGTCTGAAATACCATGTATACACGAAGGCGTCGCAGTCGGCGATTATTGAGAGCTATGTACAACTCCAATACGATAACCACATACGTACACAAGTCTTCTGTAATTCGATGTGTACACCACCGCGCGGTCGCGCCAACACCATGCGCGCGATGGCGCGTCGCCCGCACACGGCGACGACGTCCTCGCGGCGCGTCGCTCACCATGCGCGCGTGGACGCCCACGCGCGAGCGCGCGCCGCTCCTGCGCGAGCGCGCGTGCGATGCGGCGCGCGCGTCGGCGACGGTGACGCGCGACGGCGACGCGGACGAAGAGCTCGGCGGGGACGGGACGACGACGACGTCGACGACGGGCGAGCGATGCGCGCGGGCGGACGACGGTGCGGGGGGGAGAATGACGATGCGAGGCGTGATCGGTGTCGTCGCCCTCGCGGGCGTCGCGGTGAGCGCGGTGGTGGCGCGAGGGGGGGGCGCGGGCGGGGCGCGGAGCGCGCTCGGCGCGCCGAGCGCGAACGCGAACGGCAAGCCGAAGATCGCGGCGGTGGCCAAGGCGTACAGTCACAACGCGGAGGGGAGGGTCGATCCACTCGCGGTGGCGGCGGCGATGGATCCCGTTCGGCACGCGTACCTTCCGGACGCGTTTCACGGGTACGATCCGAGAATGAACGTGACCGAGTACGCGCACCCGCCGGCGGTGACGAAATCTAAAACGGGATTCACGCTGTGCGTGGACATCGCTCGAGATGCGTGGGATTCGACGTATACCAAGGGGTTCGGTGCGCTTTTCGAGCCGGGATCGTGCTTTGAGAACGTCGTCACGGGGAACTGCGACAATTCGATCGAGAGCCGCCGAGCGGACGTGCGCGTCTTCAGTCAGTCGGCCTACCTTTGGCGCGGCGCACACAAAGGTCCGCACGGCGAGTTCAACAAGCCTGATAAGGTGAATGATGGACAAATCGATCTGTACTTCGCACACGAGGCCGCGGGAACGTTCGGGGGCGAGCTGAGGAAGGACCACCTGATGAAGAAGTTTGACTACATTGGGTACTTTGACAGAACGCGCTCGGCGTTTTGGTGGCCATTCGGCCCGACGCTGAACTCTATGACGGAGAGTTTTCCAGCGTACACGATCCCACACAGTCGGAGAACTCCTGGGGTGGCTTGGATCGCGATCGACTGCCTTCCGCCGCGACCCGCCATTCTCTGGGAGATTTCTCAGCGCTTTCCCGTCTTTTCGATGGGCTCGTGCGCGAACAACGCGATGAAGCCGGCCAAGCTTCCAGGTCGGGGCATCGACAACTTAGACTATCAGATGAGTATGGCCAATCTTATGTTCTACTTCGCCATGGAGAACGCGCCGCTGTGCGAGGGATACATGACGGAGAAGATTTGGTTGGCGCTTCAACGAGGATCAATTCCGATTTACGCCGCCACGGATAGCATGCGAGAGCTGATGCCGTCGAAGAAATCCTTCATTGATCTCACGCAGTATCCAGACGTCGACTCGTTGGTTCACGAATTGGCGTTGATAGCGCGAAACGAGACCAGGTATCGCGAGTACACCGATTGGCGATATCAGCATCCAAAGACGTGGCAACCAGGATTCCGCCAGCTGTTGCGAGTGATGAGTAGCGATATCAAGGTTGGGTTGTGTGCGATTTTACAAAAGGGACCGAGTGAGTTTCCCACGGCGAAGTCACAGGGGGGTTGCGTCGGTTACCAGACAAAGATTCTCGGTAGAATAGCCGGCCAGGGGTTCCGCACCGGCAAGGGCTCCAATCTAGGTCTGCGCAACGCACTCGATTTCCTCGACGAGCTGGACTGCGCGAGCAGGAAAACTATCAACCGCCCCGAGCAAGACGACATCGAAAATGGCGCCGGCTCCCCGAGGCGACGACAGGGTCCTCGAGGCGATCGATGCTACAGACTCAAAGACCACGCGATGAAGGTTGCAGGAGTGATGAATCGTGCCGACGCTCCGGGCAAGGTGGTGGTTCAGACGGAGCAGCACGAGAAACTGGCAAAGGGCAAGGGCGATAATCAACCCGCGGTTGAAACACCGAAGGCACAGCAGACGACGGCGGCGAAGGCTCAAGCGCCCAAGGCCACGACGCCGCAGCAAAAGCCGGCGGCGCAACCGGTCAAGGCAACTCCGCAAAAGCCGAACACAGAGCCGAAGCAGTCAACGACCCCGAGGATTTGGCACGGACTCGAGGAGTGGATCCCACCCAAGAGCAAACAGCAACAGCAACCGCAACCGGCGAACGCTTCGCCGCGACCGACGACTGAGCCGTCGCAAACCAACACGACGACCGCATCGCAAAAGACCAAGGATGCATAGAACGTAGTCACGCACCTAGGATGGACAATTAATTGTAACGCCATCGTCTAACGTCGTGAAACTAACCATCCGCGTCGCGGCGCTCCGCGCGTTCCGCACTCTCCGCCTCTCCACGCGCGCCGACATGGCACCCTCCGCCCTCAGGCTCTCCTACCAGTGGGAACGAATCATGACGCTGTTTCTTCCGACCCTCGTCGCCGCCACGTCCTCCCGCGCCGTCGGTTCGTCCAGCGTCTCGTCGTCGTCGTCGTCGTCGTCGTCGTCGTCATCGTCGTCGTCACCGCTCTCCGTCACCGCCCAAGACGCCGTGGACGACGCCGCGGACGACCCGACGTCGACGAACCGCGCGAGCTCGAGCGCGACGCACAGAACGCCCGCGACGCCGCTCGCGGAGGCGGTGCGAGCGGCGAGCGAGGACGCCATGACGCGGATCTTTGAGTTTCGCGGTGGCGCCATGAAGCCGTCGCTGGGCTCGACGAACGACGCGAGGGGGAAGAGCGCGGGTTCGTCGCTGGGAGAGAAAGAATACTTACTGACGCGTCGATTGGCGCATCCGTTTCGAAGCGCGCGCGTCGGGGACGTCGTCGCGTTCGCGCACCCGAGCGGAGATTCGCGAACGCTCGTGCGAAGAGTGAGCGCGTTGGAGGGCGATGAGTTGGTGGACGTGACGAACGCGAGCGTGTACGTGGTGCCAAAGGATCACGCGTGGGTGACCGCGGATGCGGACGCGGACGGGGAGGTGGTTGGGAAGAAGGGGCGACACGAGGACTCGAGGTCGTTCGGTCCGGTGCACGCGCGGTCGCTAGAGTGGCGAGTAATTTATTCGTTGAGAAGCGCGGCTGATCACGGGGCGGTGGAGAACAGCGAGCTCGCGCGAGTCGCGGACGCGCCCGTCCTCGAGGCTGAGCTCGAGCGGGCGCTGGAGACGCTCGGGTACGATTGACGATAGAATACACTAGTGCTTGTAAATCTACGACCAAGTCTTTTTCTGATCACTTTCCGTCGCGTCGCTGGTAGATTTGCACGTACGTTTCCGTGAGGCTCACCTGCTGCGGGAGCACCTCGGAGACGCGTAAATCCTGCGTCTCGTACCAATTTTTATCCGACGCGTGGTACACCATGGAGCGATACGATCCCTCGTCCGGAGTTCCGTCGTGCACGATGTTCGCGATGAGATCGTACGTCGTCGAACCCTTCACGTCGTCGATCGGTACATGATCGGCAATGTTCAATCCGCGCGTCGGAAACGTCACGATTGTCGGGTTCTTCTCGACGAAGAAGTTATTCTTCGTGAATCGCGAGTACGTCACGATGAGGTACTCGGGAAGCTTGGTGATCCTAAACTTTGTTCCATCGAATTTTTTCAGGAGCTGCCGCTCGAGCGAAACTTGAGGAATGATCTTCTTCTCCATCACGTCTTGAAACAGCGGCGCGGCTGGGAGATCCATGGAGAGCATGAGAAATTTGGACGTCTTTCTAGGCGCCGACGAGGCGGCGAGGTCGGGATCGCCTTCGGGAACGATTTCGACTTCACCCTGAAAGCACGCCTCGACGACGGAGGAGATGTCTCCCGACAACGATGCGTTCTTCGCGATGTCTTTCTTCTCCTCACGAATCAACTCGTTCAACATCCAACGTAAGAATTGCATCGCGTCCGGGCGCGTCGCCGCCGTCTTTGACGCTTTGACGCCTCCGAACATCTCCTTCGACTGCTTGCGCACCGCTTGTAAGAACTCGTGCGGGCTGCTGTGGCCCTTGAAGTTTTTCGCGTTCCACATCTTCTTCATGAGATTGGCCAAGGCGGAGAATAAAGACGTCTGGTGATGACCTCGTCGCGCGTTCAGCTCGTCCTCCTCGCGTAACAACAGCGCTCTGCGCAACGGCCCCACGCGCGCGAGCGCCTGCACCACGGCGTTCATCCCGTCGTCCCGCCCGTTAGATTGCCAAATATTATTCAAACCCGTGACGCCGACCAAGAAATCCGTCCCGTCGAGCGCGCGTCGCCACTGCGGTCCGCCCGTTTCCAATTCGCTCACTCTCTCTTCGTCGTACCTCGGTCGCAATACGTCCTTAATCCGCTTCAGCGTCGCGTTGGACTCCTCCGGACCGATTCTGTAGCCATCCGGCAAGCACCACGTCGTGCCCTGATCCAGGTGCATGTACACGTGATGTCCGCGCTCGAGCGCGTGCTCGTACGCGCGCGTCCTCGGTCCGCGTCCCGCAAAGTATTTCCCGCACGTCAGGCACGCGTAGACGTGCACCGGGGACAACGATATCGAGCACCGCTTCTCAAAGTCAAAGTCCAGATTCGAGAGCGATATCGAGTCCAGGTACGGGCACTGCGACGGCGGCGTCATCGATGATGACGATGATGATGATTTCGACATCGTCTCTCGAATCGCATCATCGTCGTCACCCGACGCCTCGACGTCGGGATCGGCGCGCTGACGCTGACGCTTCGCCCGCGGCGCCATGGCGCATACGACTTTCGGCGATCGACCGACTTTCGGCGACCGAGGACACGGCGCGGTGTCCCTCCGACGCGTCGTCGTGTGCGCCCTCGATGTGCCCAACACCACAACAGGTGGTGGCGTCGCGTATATATTAATCAACGTATCTCATCGATTCATGAACCCAAAAACATACCCTCATCGTGTGTATCTCACACCCGTAAGTGAATCGTATACTTCATGCTCGAATTCGCCCGCACACGATTCCGTCGATGTCGTACTATCGAGGCATGTCCTCGATCAAACACCCCGACGGATCACCCCGTCGGGTCCTCTCTACTAGCGCACGGAATACATCGTGCGATCGGAGATTGCTGAAAAACGAAGAACTGAATCGCCGCGAGTCATCCACTCGGGCGGTTCTTCGTAGTGTAGATGGTTATCACGCTAGGCTTTCACCCTAGAGACTCGGGTTCGAGTCCCGGCGAGGAAAGATCGGAATCAATAGATTCATTTTTTTAAGCCCATCAAGAAAATTTGGGAAGACCAACCAGGTGCTGATATTGGGACCACCGCTTTGCATCGCATAGTATTCGAAGTACCGTGTACTCACCGCAATGACGTCTGAAAGGGGAGCACATGAATACTGTTCGCTAGGGAATGACTGTACCTACGTCGTGATGATTATACATGGTACCGCACAGGAACATGGCACCATCGCGCGCGGATCATCGATGGAATTTTTGGATGATTTCAGGGGATGTGTGGACTTTCTTGGATGTGCTCGCACTTGTAGAGCTCCCACGCGTACAGATCGCCAGAACGCGTCGACGCGCGCGAGAAACGACGTGAAGACGCACAGGACGTGATGCTCGGTGGTGTTACATGTCGCGTGTCGTCGGCGGTGTCTGTTAGTGGCGCTGAGAGCGAGTGGTGATCGTGCGCGCTCCTCCGGGTCCAAGGCTGGAGATGCGCCGACGCGGCCGCGCGCGCGCACGCCGGGTTGCGCTTTGACCCGGACCCGGGGGTCGCCTCGTTTCATCCAGTGTACCTTCTGTTGCTGGCGGAAGATACACGAACGCGTTATTAACGGCTTCTATGAACGTCTCCGCGTGCATGCATGGTTGAGCGGCCCACGCGAGGAAGTCGGTCATGCCCAAGTGGTGCGAAAGTTCATCGTCATCTCGAACGTGGAGGTACACGGCGTATTCATGCATGCATGCATATCCATGTATCGCTCGCCCGTGGCAGGTGCACGTTCGTTCAAGTGCGTTCACGTGGTTTGTTCTCAAGCCTGGTGTGGACATGCGCGCGTCCGCCGCCTCGATGACCTGGTACACGTCGTAGTTGTCACGTGTCGCGATGACGCGTTGGACGTCGTGCTCAGCATCGAGTCGCACCTTGTCGATACTCTTTTGAACACAGTTCTTCACCGATAAAAAACCCATTACAAAAGTTATCGTTTCCTGTAGCAAGTGTCGCACACGCGTCCACCGCTGACTCTGTCGCGGTAACTCCGCTTCCCTCGAGAAACCGCATGCGAGCATAGCGCGCACGTGAACGGTGGTTGCTTTGCGAGTAAAGTGATTTGGTAGCATCTTGCGCACACGCGTCCATCGCCGTCTCCGCGGTAACTTCGTTTCCCTTGCATCTCTCTGTCGCACTCAAGGCACTGAAACTGCGGCTTCTTTGCATACAAAGCGATTTTGTAGCAAGCGTTGCACACGCGTCCATGGCCGTCTCCGTGGGAGTGACTTCGCGACTTTCCGTGCGGAAAATCTCTGTCGCACCGTCCGCACGTGAACGCCGGCAAAGTCTTCGTACATCGCGTCTTCTTTCCGAATGTCTCTCTGATCTCGTTCCACGTATACTCGCGGGTGACCCCTCTGGGATGGCACACACCGGGCTGAGAAAAGTTCATTCCGACGACGCCGTCCGCGGTGTGCTCGTGCAAGGTCCCGTAGTGCGCGGTGAATACCGCTTCGACGAAGAATCCGGCGCTCGCAATCGCGCGCGCGACTTCCAAAATCGACGGCGTCGACGCGCACGTTTTCACGTACGTCTTCGCCAACTCGACCGCGCTCGCTTCGTCGTGTCCGTGAATGACCCACACACTGCATTGAAAATCAGCATCAGCATGGTCGTCGTCGCCCTTTTGGGCTCGTCGAACGAGTGCGTGTCCTCGCTGAATATTGTTCGCGCGCCCGTCGCCGAGCAGCGCCGTCAAGTGCTCGTTGATTCGTCGCTCTACATCGACACTTTCCCCGACGTACGCGAACACGAGTCCGTCGTCGGTGCGAATTCTGTAGTGATAGCACCCGCGTACGTTCAGATATCGCGCCATCGATCCCGTGGCCGTCTCGACCTTTTCCAAAGCCTGACGCAACTCGAATTCGCTCGCTTTCAGCGCCATCGCCGCGACGCGAACCGCGTTAAGATTTTGACACGCATACGTTGACTCCGCCGCGTTGAGCGGGGAGGACCACTGTGCGTTTGTTGAACTGGTGGTACGTCGAAATGCACGTTGGCGACACGCTTCATCATCCATCATGTCGACCTTCGGCAGCCCCGTCGCCGCGAACAATGGCGCTCCTCTCGCGAGCCAACGCGCGAACCTGTCCCGCGCGCACGCGCTCGGTGAGACGCGCGAGTAAATGTCTGAGATGATGCTCTTGAAATCCACGCCGCGCACCGTCTCATTGTTCATGGTCTTGGCGCACAATTCGGCATTAAACACCTCCAAGCTGACGACCGGTGCTCCTCCGAGTCCGTCCCCGGCGGCGCGTGTGACGTATTTCAACGCGAGCGTCGTCGCCGTCGCGACACCACCAGCGGTATCTTTGGGCGCGTCGTTCTCCACCGGCGCCTCCAATCCGACTCCGCTCGCCGCCTTCGGCGCCGCCTCGTCTCGCCTCGCGGCGTTCGTGACGTCGCCGAGAGCGACGCGTGTCGCCCCCGCCGCGAACGCGACGCGCGCGTTCGCCGCATCCGACTCGGCGTCCGCCTCGGCTTTGGCTTTAGCTTTGGCATCCGCGCCACCGCGACCCCCGACTGGCCAACCAACACGTGCGTTAGCAGCAGATGACGCTTCCACGAATGCCTCACGGTTTCGCTTCCCCAACCCCGCGAATGCGTAGCCGTATCCACCGCGGTATCCCCGCGGCATTGCTCCAGTCCTGCGCGTCCACGGCGGACAGTTAGTTATTAATCCGCCATCGGCGCGCATCGAACGAACGCGTCACCGTCGTCGACGCCGTCGCCCGCGCGCGCGCACCGCGACGTGAAACAAATCGACGCATCCTTGCGCGCGCGCCCGTCGTCATCGCGCGCTCGCGCGCTCCCCGGCGGCGCGATGCACGCGCCACCGGGGAACAGCGCGCGCGCGATGCGATCTCGACCGATCGCCCCCTCTCCGCGCCGCGACTCCGCGTCGCGCCGCGCATCGTCCGCGAACGAGACGTACCTTTATTCCCTCGTCGATGTCGTCGCGCGCGCGCGCACGGAACGTTCGCGTTCGAGTCGAATTCGCGCGCCGCCGTCGCGCGCGATTCCAATTCGAAATCGCGCGCGCGCCGAGTGCCGACGCGACGACGCGTCGTCGTCGTCGCAGGCGTCGCGTCGCGCGCGTCCGCATCGCGTCGCGTTTTTTTTTTTTTTTTTTTCGCGTCCGCATCGCGTCGCCCCCCGCCGCGACGCGTCGCCACCGGACGCATCGCGGCGGGGTGTGCCGCTCGCCGGTGGCGTTCCTCGACTTTTAGGGTATTTTGTGTTCTAGACCCTAATTCTAGGGGAATTGGGTTCGAAGTTTAGGGTTTAGGGTGAGGCGGGTACGACCGCGGGGCGCGGACGGGATAGAATTACAAGCACGTCTCTCATCGACTCCCCAAATCCGTCGCGCGCGCGGCTGCCGAGGTGAACTGGGTCATGAACCGCGCGTCGGCGCGTTTCTCGTCGATACCGCGTTTCTCGTCGACTCTCAATCTCGATTTCTCGTCCATTTCAGTACGCTTCTTCAGCACCTCGTCTCGATCGACTCCCCAAATCTCCACGCGCTCGATCGCGAATCGCCTGGCGCCGTACTCCACGTGCGCGCTCTCGAGTCGCTCGTCCAACCACACGGTGTGTCGTCCGACGCGGCCGAAAAATCCAAGTCCGCACGGGATGTTTGCGTGTGGGTGGAACCCGTGCGCGCAATAAATCGGGCGTTCGCTCGACCCCGACGTTTCTTCGAGCGCGCCGCCCGGGCGATACCGCCACGTGCGCGTCGAGACGTCGCCGTAAAAATCGTCCCGCGGCATCTTTGACAATCCCGGCGACGCGTGCGCGACGAAAACCTCGTCCCCATCTCCGCCCTCGCCCTCCCCCCATCGCGGCTGCACGACGATGAGCAAACGTCCTCGTTCTGCGCATCGCTCGATGATTCCACCGCGAAAGCTCATTCCGTGCGCGTCGGAATCAAACAAACGCGTCCACGCGCGCTCGCCGCGCGCGCTCGACGTCGACAGCGCCTCGCGCACGACGCGCGCCAAATCAAGCGTCAGTCTCGACGGCCGCGACGACGACGACGTCACCGCCGACGGCGAATCACCCTCGTCCGCGATCAATCGCACGTCGGCCCGTCCCGGGGCGTCCGTCGCCGTGGCCTCGTCCTCGTCCTCGTCGCCGTCCCGTCGAGCGTCCGTCGCGTCTCTCGACGTCGACGCCCCCATCCTCGTCACCGCGCGCGTCGCCGCGACCGCGCGCGCGCGGCGTCGGCGTCGGCGCGCGCGGTCGCGGTCTGGCGACCGCGACGCTTCGGGCGCGTCATCGAAAGGCGCGATCGGGGCGATCGAAAGGCGCGATCGGTGCGATCGAAAGGCGGCGCGATCGATCATCGATGGCGAATGGACGATGGACGATGAACGATCGCGACCGCGCGACGCGACGACGATGCCGCGCGCGCTCGACGGCGACGAGTGGGCGGGCGTGGACGTGTCGTGCCGCCGAGGGAACGATCACGACCCCTCGTGGTTCGCCGGACTCGACGCGCGGTGCGAGGACGTGGATCTCGTCATCGTCGGTGCCGGCATCAGTGGATGCGTGTTCGCCGAGCGCGCGTCCAGGGAACTGGGTCTGCGATCGCTCGTGGTGGATAAACGGGATCACATCGGTGGGAATTGTTATGATTTTATCAACGCCAAGGGGTTCAGGGTGTCGCAGTACGGCGTGCATCTGTTTCACACGAAACACGCGCGGGTGTGGGAGTACGTCAATCGCTTCAGCGCGTGGATGGCGTACGAACACCGGGTCAAGGCGGCGATCGAGCGGGAAGATGGGGAGTACGAACACGGTGGGAAGAGATATAGGGTCGTTCCCGTGCCGCCGAATAGGGATACGATCAACGCGTTGTATCCCGAGGCGAATCTGACCTCGGACGAAGACGCGCGCGCGTGGCTCGACGCCAGGCGAACGAAGAATGACGAACCGAAAAACGGCGAGGAGAGCGCGTTGACCAGAGCCGGTCCCGAGCTCTACGAGGCGATTTTTAAGTATTACACGAAGAAACAGTGGGATAAGTATCCGGAGGAATTGGACGCGAGCGTCTTGGCGCGGATTCCAGTGCGAGAGAACACGGACGATCGGTACTTTAGCGACGAACACCAAGCGTTACCTCGCGACGGCTACACGAGAATCTTCGAGAACATGATCATGGGCGATCCAAACATCCTCGTGCGCTTAAACGTCGATTTCTTCGAGAACAAGGATGTGTTACAAAAGATGGCTCGGAAATTCGTCGTCTTCACGGGACCCATCGACGCGTATTACGCGTCCCAGGGGTTACCGAAACTCGAGTACAGGTCTCTGCGCTTCTTCGAGGAGTACCACGAGGGCGCCGGAGATGAGGACACGAAGAACGACGAACCGTTCTTTTACCAGCCGTGTTTACAGCTCAACTATCCCGGTCCCGAGGTCGAGCACACGCGAATCGTCGAGTACAAGCATAAGCCGAACCAGCCGCGCGCGGCGCGCGAGCACAGAGGGACCGTCATCTTCAGAGAGTACTCGTGCGATCACGGTGAGCCGTATTACCCCGTGCCCAACCCGGCGAATCGCGAATTGTACGAAAAGTACCGCGAGATGGCATCGAAAGAACCGGGCGTCGTCTTCGTCGGCCGTCTCGCGTCGTACAAGTACTTCAACATGGACCAGGCGTTCTTGAACGCGCTCGAAATCTTCGACGACGTCATGGACGTCCCAAAGGAGGGCGAGCGATCCAACTCGGCGACGGCTCCAAAATTTACCGATCTCGGCGAACCCGACGGACCGAAGTAGTCGCGCGCGTTCGCATCACGCACGATCGACCGAGCATCGAGCCGTCTCTCAATCTCTCCCCCACCCGGGGTCTCTAGACGTTCGCGCAGATAATTTCAAATTTTTTCAAACGCGCACCTGTCGACGCCCACGATCGCCCACACTCCACCGCCCCCCACACCGCGTGACCGCTCGCACCGCGCGCGAACGATGGCGACCACGGACGCGGAGTCCATGAAGCGCGCTTTCGAGGACGTCGGGTTCGACGTCGACGTCGCCCTGCCCGAGCTCGCGCACATGCGAACTCGGCTGCGAATGTCCCCGACGGAAGTCGCGAATGTCTATCAGATGTTCGACCTGAACATCGTCTCGAAATCGAGCGCAGACGTCGTGGACCGAGGGAAGGTATCGATCGAGCGCCTGGAGGCGTTCGAGGCGTTCGCGGAGCGAGAACGGGGACGATCGTTGGAGTCCAAGGAGGACGCCGGCGGGAGCGGATTCGGACGCAAGCGGAGACGGGCGAAGAGCGGAGGCTCGACGCCTGGATCGACGAGTGGAACGCCTGGAAACTATGTGACGACGTCACCGGGAACGCCGGGGACGCAGAGAAGGTTTTCGTTCTCGAGCGCGACGAAGACGCCGATGAAGCACGCGCGGGAGTGGAGCGCCGAGTTGGACGCGCTCGGCGAGAGCGGCGAGAGCGAGTATAAGAGACGCGCGGTGACACCCGGGAGCGCGCGATCGGATGCGAGCCTAGCGTCGCAACCGGGCGGTGTGGGGGCGATCTTGAACGAACACCTCGCGGAGAAGATTGCGTTGAAGACGGATTCAGACGTCGCTGACGTCGTCGCCGTCGAGCACTTGGGTACGGAAAAGTTTCGATACATGCGCGATAGGATTTCCGATCGCGTTCGCATGATCGATGCGCGCGTGCGAGAAGTCGAGACCAGATTCGCGGTCGCCGTGGAAGCCGACGACGACGCGGCGGTTGCGACGCAAGACGACGCGGCGGTTGCGTCTTCGTCCGCCTTTGTCTCCCCGGTCGGATCCAAGACGGGCGACGAGGACGGGCATTTCGTTGGACGCATTGTCAGCGCACACGTCGGTTCAGACGGAAAGCTCACCGATAAGACGGTCGCTCTTGAGGGTTCGATCGACGGGAGCTCGGGAGCGCGCGTGCGCTTGGAGCTTCGAGACCTCGAGTCGTACAGCTTGTTCCCGGGTCAAGTCGTCAAGGTCCGCGGCCGTAATCCCGCAGGCCACTGCATCGTCGCTAAATACATCGACACCGACGTCTCGGTCAAGCCATTCGCTCGATCGAAGACGGACTCGCCCGTGTTCAAGAGAGGCGCCGAGGTGATTGTCGCTTCTGGCCCGTTTTCGTGCTCCAGCAATTTGCGATACGAGCCCCTTCACGACTTGCTCGAGTACGTACGAGAGGAGAAACCCGACGCCTTGGTGCTGTGTGGGCCGCTGCTCGACGCCGAAAACGCGTTGGTCAAGTCTGGAGATCTCGGTGAAAAGTTCACGTACTATGACGTGGCGGCGAAGGTCGTGGCCAAGCTCGAGGACGAACTGCGCGAACGGGGCACCAAGGTCATCTTTGTCCCGTCTGCACGCGACGTGACGCTCGATCCGGTGTTCCCTCAACCTGCGGCGAGCGTGGATGAATTCGTCACCGATAGATCTCGAGTGGTATCCGTGTCCAATCCGGGGACTTTTGAGATTAACGGCGTCGTCTTCTCTGCGTGCGGCGTCGACGTTTTAAAACACCTGAGTGCGAGGGAAATTTCTCAAGGGCACGCACCGAAGGAACGTCTCGGTCGACTCGCCGGACACGTCGTTCGCCAAGCGCACGCGTACCCGTTGTATCCGCCAGATGTTTCGACGTGCCTGGACGCGCGTCACGGTGATGCGTTGGCGTTCGAACGCGCGCCGGATGTGTTGATTTTGCCGAGCGATTTGAAAGCCTTCGCGGAGGTGTGCGAGGACGTCGTCTGCGTGAATCCAGGGAGATTGGCTCGCGGTAACGTCGGGGGGACTCTTGCGAAGATTGTCGTGCATCCAATTGATTCGATGGAGAGCGACGACGCCGATGCTGACGCGACGCGTCCGCACGAAGTTCAAAAGCGTTGCCGCGTCGACGTCATAAAAATCAAGTAGTTTCTTTGTCATCATCATCGACAGTTCGCGCAAAATCACAGGAACGTTGAAACATTCATAATCGTCCATCCACTCGTTTTTTTTTATTACACGTCAGGCGAGGAAATCATGAAATGGGGTGCGGTACAAGAGGAAAGAGTGGCGCTCGTGAAGAGGGACGGGCGTTCGGCGTTTCGAAACCAGCCGAAAGTCGTAATCCACAACAGAAGTGAAACGAAACGAACGGAAGTGTTCCTTTCGTTTAGTTTGAGCTCGAGCTCGCGGCGAATCCACGGCTCGGGACCTTCACCTTGGCCTCCTTCACGGACGCCACGGCGAGTTGCTTCTGTTCCTCCTGGGCCATGCTCATCGTCATCATGGAGACGCCGCTACCGATGGCGACACCGGTGCCGACGAGACCCGTCAGGGCGAGGATGGACATGGAAACGTACACGGATTGCGTGCTCGGCATTTTAAGATTTCTGTCGTCGTCGTCACGCGCACGAGGACGCGTCGTCAGTCGTTCGTTCACCGCGGCGCACCGCGCGCGAGACCCCAAATAAGATCGTTCCCGCGCCCTCGCGCGCGTCTCCTTTCGATCGCGACGCGCGCGTGGGTCCACCGATACGTACGCGTGACGATGTAAAAACGGTGGATATCGTTCCGAGAGAGAACGAGATGGATCGCGCGACGTGAGCGTCGACGAAGGGTGTGTGATCCGTGCGGGAATGTGCGGTCGGGCCCAGCGCCGCGCCCGGTGCCGTGTGGTTCGTGGAGCGGCCTGGGATGGACATTTTTATAGAAACTCGGATATTTGATGCGTATTTAAGTAATAAGAAGTACCAAGAAAAAAAGGAATGACCCCACAAGGATTCGAACCTTGGACCTTGAGATCTGGAGTCTCACGCAATACCACTATGCTATGGAGCCATGTGACGTGCGTACATCGCGTTGAGCGACATACACTATGGGACTTGGAGGCGAACCTGGTTATTCCGACGCAAGATTGTTTATTAGTACAAAACAGTTACGGGTGCGTCACTATTATGTATGCTCGTGATACGGGGTCGCGACTCGTGCATGTCTGCTTCGTAAGGTTTACGCGACGCCACGGGCAATGGTGATGAAATGCGGTGTGTCCGAATGATTTACATTTCTGGCGCCCGTTCCTGTGCGTCGCAGTCATCGCAACCACTTGACCACGCGTTCGAGGCGCTCGCTAGATTTCGCCGAGAGCGTGTTCACGCTCTCGTGAAAGGCGTGGAATCGCTCGAGGGTGTCGGCGAGGGGTTTGAGTCTCGGTTCGCCATTGCCCTGGTGTAAAGTCGAAGCGAACCTCGAGACGACGTCGGCGCGAAGCGCGGGCTGACCCTCGATCAGAAACGCGAGGAGCAAACCACTGTAGGCCTGGAGAATCAGGTCCTCGCCCGTATTCTTGGACGACATGGATTTGATCATCTCCGCGGTGACGTGCGTGGCCTCGGCCTCGGCCTCATCGTTCGCTTCCTCGGCGTTGACCGCTTGCAGGTACAGCACCGCGAGCGCGTCGACGAAGGAAATCAAAGTCTCCGACGACCCGGGAAGCTTCACCGAACAGTTTTGAAGCGTCGTCGCTGACTCGGCGTCGGCCTCGACGATGTTGACCAGGAGTACGAGCGTCGCGTTCAAGAGGGACGAGCCCGAATCGTCTGCGGGCACGCGCGTTCTCTTACGATCGCGGCCGTCGCGCAGGGTGAACCCCTCAATCGTGAGCGCGAGCCAAGGCACGAGACTTGCGATTTGAAGGAGCCCTTGATGGTCGTCACCGACCACCGCGCCGGCACCCTCCTCGTTTTCATTCGTCACGTTTGTGAGCGTAGAAAGAACCGCTTTCAACGCGCCCACGGCGACTCGATGGTCGATCGCGATCGCGCCGTTGTAACGAACGCGAAGCGTGTTCGCAATCGTATCGCCTCTTTTACTCCCGATGACGCTCGCCGTGGTCATCGCCGCGAGCGTCGGGATCACGTCCACGAGCGCTCGAACCGCGGTTCTGGCTCTTGGCGAGCTCCCCTTAACGGGCGTCTGCACGTTATCGGCGAGCCACTGAATCGCCGCACCTCTTCCGACGTTACCGACTATCGGCGGCGAAAGCGGCGAAGAGGGGATGATCATCGCGTCGTCATCGTCGTCGTCATCGCCGCCGCCATCCACGGTGATACTTTTTGCGAAACCGCCACGTCGCACCGAACTTGGCGGTGTCATCGTTATTCCACCCGGAACGCGCGATTTGACGGGAGATGGTGACATCGGAATGTCGATCGGCGCCGCGCTCGGAGCCGACGTGTTCGCCGTGACTCGAGCGCTCGAAAGGGGGATGAGCTGTAGGCTCGGTGCCTCAGCACTCTTCGACGTTCCCACGAGTGTCGCCACCGAAATGATATCGCACGACTCGCGCGACTCAAAGCTTGCACACTCGAGGACGCGCGAGCATCTGAATAATCGCGCGATGGCGCGAGCGGCGTCTTGCTCCGCCGCGTCGTCCGTGACGTCGTTGTTGTCCTCGTCTTCATCATCATACACGCGCGGGGCAGTCGAGGCGAAATACGCATCACCGAATCGTTGCAGTGTCTTCGTTGCCTGAGCGACGAGTTCGCACGTCGCCAACACCGCTCCTTGCCTGGCCATGATCTCTCTGAACGAATTGTCATCAGTAGCCGATCCCGGCCCCGACCCCGAGGCGAGCAACGCGTCCTGTTCAGCCCTGAGCGCCTGGTGCGCTATGAGCAAAGCGAGCGTCTTCTCATCCTTCGCTTCATGAGGTAAAAACTTGAGCGTTTTCAAGCACGCCCGAATCGCACTATTCGTCTTGACGTGTATCGCCTCACCGCTCGCGTTGGATGCGCGAAGGAGCGCTCGAATCGCCTTCGCCAACTTTACGTTGAGCATCGATCCGCTCGCGGGCTTTCGAAGCTCCGAGTCACCGCATAGGTAAAAAATCGCCGCGCACCCAAAGAGTAGCGTCTTCGGCGCGTTCGGTAGTACGGCGACCTCTTGAGTCGCTTGGATGATTTTCGACGGTAAACCGTACGACGCCATGAGTCGACGCGTCCGCTGATTGCTCAAAAGATCGACCAAGACGCCGACGCTTCGAATCTTTTCCTTGAAGTCCCGAGCCGAGGACAAACCAGAAATCGCATAGTTCGCTTCATCTATGTCGGCCAACTGCGCGCCCGATTGCGGCATGAGACGGTCAGCGTCGTCGTCGTCGTACTCCAGATCCTTCTTCTCCTCCTCGCCCACGAATTCGCCGAGGGTAACTCTCTTCTTCACCGTCGGAACCGCGCCCGACACCACCGCGGTAGACGTCGACGTCTCTCGTCGAATCGTCATCGCGTCACTCTCGCGCGCATCCGTCGTCGTCGTCGTCGCCGTCTCCGCCTCCGCGCGCGCCGTCTCCGCCTCTCTCCGCTTCTTCGCCCCCGAACGCGCGAGCGTCGTCAGTTCCCGCGTCCCTCGCTTCCCACGCGGCGACGCCACCGCCACTTCATCGAACAAATCCTCCGCCGGTCGCACCGCGTCCACGGCGTCGTCCACGACGACGACGTCGTCGTCTCGCGTCCGCGCCGCGCCGCCGTCCGCCGTCCCATCCGCCGCCGTCGTCCTCGCGCCCGTCGCGTCCATCGCTCGCGCCGTCGCCCGCACCGACCCCCCCCGCGCGAACACGCTCACACCGACCCCTCTGCGCGTCGTCGTCGTCGTCGTCGTCCGTCGTCGTCCGTCGTCGTCGTCGTCGTCGTCGCTCTCGCTCGGTAACGCCGCCGCATCGACGTCGTCAAAGTACGCCTTCGCCCGCGCGATCGCGTCGAAGGCGTAGGGATCGTCCGCGGTCACCCGCGCGCGCCTCGACGCGCGCTCGGGCATCGCGCGCGGCGTCGCGACGCGGTGTCGCGTCGCGACGACGCGCGATGGATGATTTTTTTGAAATCGCCAAAGCGCGCGACCCACGGGGGCGCGCCTCGTGGACGCACATAGGTGAAAACCACACTGTATACGAGGAAATCCGTCGTGGACGCACACGTACGGGCGACGACGCGGTCGCGCGTGTGGGACATAGGACACGAATGTGTGCACTACGACACATGAGGGTTTAGCTCGTCGAACCCGCGCGCGCGACGCGACGCGCGCGACGCGACGCGACGCGACGACGCGCGCGCGCGCGGGCGTTCGAGCGCGAGCGACGCGGCGGGAGCACCGACGCGCGGCGACGCGCGGGCGAGGCGCGGGTGACGACGGGCGCGGGGACGATCGGCGACGGGACAAACCGCGGGCACCGCGAAGGAAGGAATCGTTGGACGACGACGACGACGACGACGACGACGGCGACGGCGGCGACGGGCGGCGGACGCGAGCGCGGCGCGCGGGCGCGCCCGTGTCGTCGGTGAGGGACGCGGCGCGATGGTGGCGACGGGGGCGACGGGTGGAGGGGACGACGGGGCGGGACGGCGGGACGGCGGGACGCGCGCGAGCGCGAGCGCGAGCGATGGGTCGTCGCCTTTTAACATGGAACAACTGCGAGCGGCGGTGGATCGGCATCATAAGAAGGTGTCGAGTGAGGTCGAACGGGCGTGGCGCGAGTCGAGTCTTGGGAGTTTCTCGTTCGGACGCGCGCCGGGACGCTCGAGCGAGAGCGGCGGAGGCGCGGGGACGCGCGCGGGGATCAGAGGGACGACGATGCTCGAGCGCGAGAGCGGGGACGAGGGTGATGGCTCCTTGGCGCAACGCGCGGGGCGGAAGAAGCGGTTGAGCATCACGGAGGTGACGGAAAAATTTACTGAGATGGCGAAACGAGCGAGTCAAGATTCCTTGGCGAAATTGGACGACGCTCGGTTCATGGAGCGGTTTGAAAAGCTCAGAACGAGCAGAGATCGCGGGAGGCGGGGCGCGTCGGGGACCGATGACCTTCGGGAGGGGGGAAAGGCTCGCGCGCGGTCGGCGCAGGATCTTCAAGCGATTATAGCGAAATCCATCTCAAAGGCGCCGTCCATGCCAAAGTGGGGAGAGGAGTGGGACGTGTTCAAAGCGATCAAGCCGCGAGAGGAGGAAAATCAGAGACAGCGCGGCGGTCGTTCGTCACCGGGTGGGATGAATCGAAGGCGGGCGCAGTCGGAGACGCTCGTTGGCGCGCCGAAGGCGTCCCCCAAATCGTCTGCGGATCTGTCGCCGCCGCCGTCTCGTTCCCTTTCGCGACCGACGTCCACGGATAATCTTCTCGCCGCCGGCGAAGGGAAATCACTCGCCGGCGCGGTAGACGAGGATGACACCAATCCCGCGAAAGTGTTTGAAAACATCAAGCGAGAGATCACGAGTAGACTCCCGCGCCCGCCGAGTCTTCCAAAGATGAACGATTTGCAAAACGCCGTACGACGACTGGCTGGTAAGCCCGAGGAAATCATGGTTTCATCGCCGTACGACGCGAGTCTGAGTAGTCCGGGAGTGGTTCTCAAGAGCCCGACGTCGACGTCGGCGACGGCGGCGGAGATGCGCGAACGCGAGGCGGACGCCGCGAGACAGCGAGGAAAGGACGCGCCGAGATCCATCAAGGAACACGGACGCTCGGTCGCCATCGTCACCACGGCTTCGTTACCGTGGATGACGGGTACGGCTGTGAATCCACTCTTGCGCGCTGCGTACTTGGCGAGGCGAGGAACGCACGATGTGACGCTCGTGATTCCCTTCCTGGCGCCAAACGAGCAAAAGCTCGTGCATCCCAACATGATTTTCAACACCCCTGAGGAGCAAGGAGCTTACGTCAACAAGTGGGTCGAGGAGCGTTGTGGATTCAAACCGCAGATGAAGCTGTCGTTCTACCCAGGACGATACGCCACGGACAAGTACAGCATCATTCCGGTCGGTGATTTGACGTCGTACATCCCGAGTGATCGCGATTCAGATGTCGCCGTTCTGGAGGAGCCCGAGCATCTCAACTGGTACCACGCCGGTCAGCGATGGACCGACAAGTTCAAACACGTCGTCGGAATCGTGCACACCAACTATCTCGATTACGTGCGCTTGGAGGAAAACGGACCGATCAAGGAAAAGGCGCTGAAGTTTGTGAACAACGTCGTGTCGGCCGTGCACTGTCACAAGGTCATCAAGCTCTCGGACGCGGTGCAAGAATTTCCCAAGAGCACGACGATGAATGTTCACGGCGTCTCTCCGATATTCTTGGACGTGGGCGCTCAGAAGGCGCTCGAGGCGACGCATGCGAATGTCGACGTGGTGAAAGGTCCGCTCGCCTCCGTTGGACGCTCGGCTACGAAGAAGCTCGGTAAGTCGAACAAGCCCGTCTTCACTAAGGGAGCGTACTTTCTCGGCAAAGTAGTTTGGGGTAAGGGTTACAAAGAGCTTCTCGATCGAGTGTCGGAGCACAATGGGAGTGAGAACGGACGAGATTGTCCTCTGGAGCTCGACGTCTTCGGCAACGGCGACGATTTCACCGAGGTGAAGTCGACGGCGGAGGAGAGACATATTCCGCTCCGTTTCCACGGACGCAAAGATCACGCCGAGAAAGATATTCATGATTACAAAGTTTTCGTGAATCCCTCGCTCTCGGACGTCGTCGCGACGACCACGGCTGAGGCTCTAGCAATGGGAAAATTCGTCGTGTGCGCCAAGCACCCGAGTAACGAGTTCTTCTCCACCTTCCCGAATTGTCTCGTGTACGATAACCCCGATGAGTTCAGCAAGTGCGTGAAGAAAGCGCTGACCTCTGAACCGACGCCGCTGAGCGCACAGGATTCGTACAGGCTTTCATGGGAAGCCGCGACGGATCGCTTCTTGGACGCCGCCGAACTGTCGCCACGGGAAATCAATCCGACGCTCGGCGACAAGGCGAAAGAAAAGTTTGCGCACGCGATGCATACCACACTAACGAGCGTTGAGCCGATCCGTCGAGCCACGGGCGCGGGTGCGAATACGCTCAAGGCTCCGGAGAAGCTCGATCACTCTTGGGAACCCGAGCCGTGGGACTCGAGCGCGCGCGACGCCAACCGCACGAAAAAATGAAAGAGGCACGCGAAGTCACTCTGTAAGAATAAACGCACGCGATCAGTGTACGAGGGTGTAAACGAAACGCAAAAACATTCACGCGCTCACGCGTTGTCACGACAAACGACTAATCACGCGTTCCCATGCTCTCCTCGAGTTCCTTCTTCAGCGCCACCGCCGAGCGCCACTTCTCTAATCGCTTCACATCCCGTTCCGCGATCGCCCGTCGTTTGTTCTCTTTGTGCACGCGCGCGTTCTCTCGACGAAACGCCTCTCGCGCCAGCATGCGCTTGATGTGATTCTTCCTCTTCGTCGGCTTCTTCACCGCGCTCGCGTCGGACGCTCGCTCCAAAGCCTCGCTCGGAACTTCGAAGATCTCGGAATCGGTGACCCCGTACGCCGAATGCGTCGGCGGCGTCGAGACGACGGAGAACGAGCGTGAATTCATCAACAGCAGCGAGCTCGAGAGCACTCGTGACGACGCGAAAGCGTCTCGCGTCGACGCACGCGCGGTCTGGACAATCGCCACGGGTGCTGATGAAGACGCGGTGAGCGCACTGAGCGCGCGGGCGCATCGAGCGGCGACGGCGCGAGACATCGTGCGCGAGAAAGAGTGCTGTTCACAGTGGCGGGGAGAAACCTTAGGGTGGGGACATCGAGCGGATTATTCATCCAAACGTTTCATAACACGACGCGAAAGACTATCTCTTGACCCATGCGAATGACTTACGCGCCTTGGCCTTACCAGGTTTCTTGCGTTCGACGATCCTGGAATCGCGCGTGAGGTACCCGGCGGCTTTGAGCGCCGGTCGAAACACCGGGTCGTAGTTTTGGAGCGCCACGGATATGCCGTGGCGACACGCCTGTGCTTGGCCACTAATCCCGCCCCCGCGAACGTCCACGACGGCGGTGAATAAACCAACGGTATCGCTCACGAAGAATGGGGCGACCATCTCGCCGCGAACGGTGGGCGACGAGAAATACTCATCGTAGGGTCGTCCATTCACCTTGTGCTCGCCCGGTCCGGGGGCGAGCCACACTCTAGCGACCGCTGTCTTCCTTCGCCCCGTCCCGTACGACCGCCCCGCGGCGTCTCGAATAGGCACACGAACGAACGGCGCCGTCTCTTTCTCCTCATCCGCGCTTTCCGACGCCGAATCCACCGTCTCGCCCTCGTCGCTCGCCGAAGCCGCCCGCTCGCTCTCCGCGCGCTCTCTCAAATTCTCTCTCCCAGCCAACGCCTCCTCGTACGTCGGTAACCCACTCCCCTCGACGTACGCACCCTCGACGTACGTCTCGAACAGAGCGTCCAGCGCCTCCAACTCTCGCGCGTCCACGGTTTCGAGTTCGCGTTCCGCCCACGTCTTTGGCGGCGCGCCGTAAAACGTCCCGTCCCTCGGCGCCAACCGTTGTTTCGAGTCCGTCACGCGCACGATCTTGTCGTACGTCATCTCCTCCGCCGTGATCGGCATCGTCGCGCGTTTGCTCCCCGAGCGCGTCTTTTGGGACGACGCGCTGGCGGTGAAACCGCGTCTTTGGCGATCGCGGGCGATCGAACCTAGGTCGCGACTCGAGCCAACGTCATCGCGTAGCGACGCGCTCGAGGGCGCGCATCCACCGACGAGGGCGCGCGATGCGTCCTTGGACGCGTGCGTTTGGTGCACGCGCGCGATGGCGTCGCGGGCGACGCGAGCGGCGCGACGCATGGCGAGGCGAGGTGTGGAGCGACGCGCGGGGTCGACGCGGTGACGCGAACAAACGCGGACGCGCGCGTTGGATGTGTTTGAAGATATATATGACGGAGGCGTCGCCCGCCCGCCGTTACAACTCGATGGTCCTCCGCGATGAGATCGATCACTTGCCGAGCGGCTTGGCGCGGCGCTTGTACTTGATTCGGCACCCCGCGTGCTTGGGTCCGACGACCATGCCTTCGTAATCCGGCTCGGGAAGGTCGCCCACCATGTCGAATTCAAAGTTTCTGATGAGAATGGACCAGATGGTCTTGATTTGCATGTACGCGAAGGTCTCACCCATGCAACCGTGACGACCGCCGCCGAAGCCGATGAAGGAGGCGAACGCCGCCTTGTCCTCGGCGTTCGGCTCGCGGAAGCGTCCGGGCTTGTACGTGTCCGGTTCGCTATACACGCTGTCAAGTCTGTGGGCGAACGCCGGAGAGGTGGCGACGATGTGTCCCTTCGGTACAGTGTACTTCTTTCCCTCGGTCGTCTCCACTTCGAACGCCGACTGGGCGTAACGCAAGAGCATGATGAGCGGCGGATGCATGCGGAGCGCCTCCTTCACCGCAAAGTGCAGCTCGTCCATCTTCGCTAATATATCAAAGTCGAGCTCGTTGCCGTGCGCCTTGATAATTTTGCGCTGCTCTTCTTCCAGGGCCGGGAAGACGCGCTCCTTGTTAGCGATGGAGAGCAAACCCGTCCACGTGGACGTGATCGAAGATGTGTGCTGACCCGCGAATAACACCGCAATCAACATGCCGAGGACTTGATCGTTCGAGAGCTTGGAACCATTCTTGTAACGAGCGTCGATGAACGTCTGGAGAACATCTGGTTCGCTCGCGCCGCTCTCGCGTCGAGCCTGAATGACCTTGTCGAAAATTTGAGCCAACTTTTTGCGAGCCTTGTCGCGCTTGCGGTGCGCCTCGATCGGGGCGTACGGGAAGAACACCGACAACGGTACCATACCCTTATCCAAGTCGTGCACAAGTTCGGTGACCTCAGAGTAAAGCGTCTCACGAATCTCCCGTCCGAGTAAGCATCGCGACGCGGTGAGCACGATGAGCTCTGAGAGCTCATCCAACAGGTTCACCTCGCCCTCGTCGCCCCACTTGGCGAAGAAATCCTCCGCCTCCTTGACCATCATCCCCACGTACATCCGCAACCGATTACTCTTCAAGCTGTCCGCGAAGAACCTAAACTGTTCAGCGCGAGTCGTGTGATCGACATCGAACACCACGCCCTTACCGAACGTCGGGACGTTGAACTCGTACACCTCCTTCTGCGACATCTCCGTGTCCTTCGCCTTAAAAAAGTGTTCGCTCACCTTTGGCCCGATCAAAAACGTGATCCGCTTGTGGAACACCGGCACGGTGAACACCTCACCGTACTTGGGCATCGCCTCTCGCATCAGCCGCATCGGTCCCGCGAGGAACGCGACCATGCCGCCCCACACCGGCGCGACGGAGATCACCGGCGGACTCCTCCGTCCCTTCAACGGACCGTGCGAGAGTTGATCCAGAATAAAGATCGCGAGGATGATCGTCATCATCACCGCCGGAATCGTGACGTAGAGCGGAGAATCGCGCATGGCGCGCGCGATCTCGTTCGCGAGCGTTGGGCCGCCAGCCATGATTATTCCGTCGTCGACGACGATGTAATCACCTCGTGGACGCTCGAACGGGCGCGTTCGACGGTTTCGATCGTCGCGCGCGTGACGATCGGACGCGCGAGCGAGCGAGCGACGCGTGTGCGCGACGATCTGAGGACACTTTGGACTCTCGCGCTATCCACTTTAGGGTACAAAGCGCTCGCGCTGACGTGAAGGAGTACTAGTGGCGCGTCGACGCTATGCGTGCGAGAGGCGAGAGGTGAGAGGGGAAGGGCGAAATTTCGGTGAAAGTGCATCGCATCACACGATCGAGAGTAAGCGCGTGGGTCGGCGACGCGATGCCACGGCGGTCTGCGTCGTATCGTCGGTCGAATCGTCGATTCAGCGTTTTCGCGCGAGATCCCGTTTACGCGACGGCAGAAGGGACGGTGTTCGCGAGCTTTTCGTTCACCGCCGTTCGGATGTTGAAGTGGTTCAATTCGTCGTAGTTTTCGACGACCGACATCATCATCGAGCCGCCAGCGTTGATGACGATGATGGTTTTCATCGGCTTTTTCAGATCGACTCTGTAGCCGACACGAGGAACATGTGCGGCGACGACACGATTGACGTCGGCCGATTGGAAGTGTCGAAGCGCACTGTGTTCCTCGTAGTGCACCTCGAACGAGATCGGTTCGGCGTCGGCGTCTCGCGCGGGGAAGTGTCCCGGGAGAACGCGCGCGGCGAGAGAATCGAGCTCGAGTTCGCTCGCCGCTTGCTCCACGGGCACGATTCTCGAGACGTGCGTCGGCTGCTTCCAATCCGCGCCCTTTTTACACTCCTCGACGATGGCCTTGACGCACATGTACAGATTCACGTCGTTGTCGTCCGGTTTGAGCGCGACGAACGCGCACGTCGTGCAACCCGGTATCCACAGACACTCCGCGCTATCGTACGGCTTCTCACCGTCGATGCGGTGCGCGTCGTACGCAACTTTGAACCAGAAATCATTCAGTATGTTAGCTGCTTCGATGGCGGCGTCCACGATGGCGTTGTCGTTCGAGTGCACGGCGGTAACTAGGAAGCCTTTGATCCAAGACGGGAGCGGAGCCGTCGGCGGCACGTACGAGAGGTCTTCTGCGAGTCGCATGGCATTGTTCCAGACCGCGGAGGAGTCTGACATGTTACCTTGGCTATCTGCAAAGATCTACCTCGACGTTTGCTCTCGCACGCGCGGTGAAGTGACTCTGGGGCTCTCTCTCGTCCTCGTCTCGATCCGCGTCTCGATCCGCGTCTCGATCCGCGTCTTGATCCGCCGCTCACCGTCGATCACGCATCGCGATCAGCGCTCGAGTGATCTTAACCATCGGCCCAAAAGGCACACCTAACTTGTTAAAATCTTTCTCTCGCATCTGCTTCAGCGCGTCGTAATCGATCTCCTCCCTGGCGAACGCGTCGACGTATCGATCCAAATCGAGCGAACGCAACAACCGCGAAACGTTCACATCGCCGCGCCGTCCCCCGACGGGCCTCTTACTCGCTCCTCTCGACCCACGACCGATAAGTTTCGATCGTAGATCCTCTCTCGACCCGTTCGACGCGCTCGTGCTCCGATGCGTCAACCGCCGTCGTAAATCGTCGCTCATCCGCGCGTCCTCCTCGCCGACGACTTGCCCCCGCGGCCACTTCTGTTCGCGTCCAGCCTCGATCGTCCGTCGCAAATCACTCCCTAACTTCTCACGCAAGTCCGCGGCGCCTCCACCGTACGCCCGCATCTTCGTTCCGTTCTCTTTGCCCTCGGCCTTGAGCCTGGCCCGTAAATCATAATTTCCATCTTTGTGCTTTCCGTTCGCGCGCGTCTTGGTCACCGTCGTTCGCGTCACGCGGTCGATCGCGCTCGGATGCGATCGTGCGCCGTTGGCGCGGCGTTTGGCGGGCATCGAGAGGTCGTCGCGTCGCGTGAGTGAGTGGAGGTTGCCGCGCGCAACACTAAAGCTTCAAAGCGGAGAGCGAAGGCGGAGAGTTTCATTCATCGTCGAGGGTCGCGGGGCGCTGTGAAATGTTGTACATCTATTTGAATGCGCGTTCTATGCGTGTTGTACACGAACGTCGGCGATGGCGACGAACGGAGTCGATAGGCGTCGGCGTCGTCATCGGACGGGTCGCCGAATCGAGCGGTATCCCAAACCGCCGCGGTGGGTCGAGGACGGATCAAGGAGTCTTCGGTCGATCACGTCGTCATCGTCGCTCCAATCGTCGCCATCCACAGCGACGTTGTCGATTGAGCCCTTGGCCGGACGCCAGACGAGGACGTTGGCGTCCTTTCCGCACGTGAAGAGCTCGGCGTCGCCGCCATCCTTGTACGCGCACGCGAAGACGTCGTCCATGTGCGCTCGAAGCTCGGCATCCATGGTGCCGGTGTGCGTCCGGTACGATCGCACGCGTCCATCTGTACATGGCACGAAGAGACGCTCACCGTCGGCGGTGATAGCGATCTGACACGCCACGGATGTCGGAGCGAGGCCGGATTCGTCATACGGCGTGTACGTGTTCAATCCATTCGATAAATCCCACCGACGGATCCTTCCGTCCGCGCCGGTTGAGATGAGAAACATACCACATGGCGTCACTTTCACCGCGCTCACTCGACCGTCGTGCGCTGGAGCAGAAACGGAGGAGTATCCGTCTCGCGCTGGGAAGACGCGTGACGATCGACGCTCGTCGTCATCGCCGCGACCTCGCCCTCGAAAGCCGACGCCCCAACCACCCCATCCCCCGTTCCTGGCACGCTTGCGATTTACGCCACCGCCTCCGCTCGTGCTCGCGCCGTTCGATCGCCCCCATCCTGAGCTTGAGCATCGTCTGGCCGAGTCGGCGCGCAAGTGTTCCGGAACCGCATCCGCCATCTTCCTCGACGCCGGCCTAGGCCCAGCTTCGTGCGTCCCACCCACCACGCTCGCCCCGGCGTACATCGCATCCTTAATAGCGTCCACCCTCGCGCTCGGCTGCGTGTTGTGTCGATCTAAAATCATGTACGCTCCCGCCCTGCGAATGTCCCACACTCGCACGTCGCCCTCCGCGCCGCCCGTCGCGAGCGCGTATTCGCTCGATCGCAACCAATCGATCGCGCTCACCCCCCCTCGGTGCCCACTCAGCGTGTGCGCGATCGCGTTCGACGCGGGATCCCACAATCGAACGACGTCATCGTCGCTTCCGATCGCGCACAGCGCGCCGCTCCCCGCCGCGCCGCTCGGCGCCACCGCTCGGACTTTCGCCCCGACGTCGATCTCGCTCGCCACCTCGGCCGCGTTCGCGTCCCAAAATTTCACCGCGTGATCAAAACCACCCGTATAAAACCCTCCGGTGTCGCTCGGGAGCCACGACGCGCACGACGTCGCGTACGCGTGTCCCGGCGCCTCGCTCGCCGTCCCGCTCGCCGTCCCGCTCGCCGCGCTTTGATTCCCATCGCCGCGTTCTCCCGCGCGCACCCGCGCGCCGCGACCGCTGATTCGACACACGACTACCGGCGCCTCGGCGTTGGCCTCCGTGTCCGCGACGACGCATCCACCGCTGATCGTCCCGATCAACAGGTACCGGCGCTCGCTCTGGTCCAACGCGACGCACGTGGGCGAATCGTCTCCAATGTTCACGGGCGTGACGTCGGTGAGCGGCGATAACGTCCGCGCGCGCTCGGCTTGAACGACGAACGCGGCGGGTGGAGCGGTGCGCTGCGCGCGAGCGCGGGTGAGCGCGAGCATGATGGACCCGAGGCTCGCACTGAGGATGATTGCGAGCGAGCGTCGGTTCGGCGAACGTGATTACAACGAGCTAAGACGCGTACGTGTGACGCGCGGAGTGATGTACGATCACGACGGTTTACCGCCCACGGCGCTCCAGGATTGGAACTTGTGCGTGTGCGTGCACAGGGACTTCATTACGTCCGGGTCTCCGGCGTCTCCGACGAGCAATCCGTGCACCTTCAGTCCCATCTCTTCCTTGGCTTCGTTCAGATTGGCGACCAAGTTCTCGTCCGGCGGTGCGATCTCGCCGTCGGTGACGAGTAAGATGTCGGCGTTGGACCACTCGGCCTCGTTTAAGCGAGAGAGGGCGCGATTGAACGGCTCGTCAACGTCGGTGCCTCCGTGGAACGAACCGCTGAGGAACTCCAAGAGGCCGTACAGCCCGGTGGCGTTGAGCTTGAGCTCGAGCTCTTGGCAATCACCGGGTCCACTAAAAGAGTACAAGAAGCACGCGCGCTGCTGCGCTCGACTCTGACGCATGCACTCGAGCACCATGGCCTTGGCGACAGTTTCACGCGCGCCCATCATCGAGCCAGAGGTGTCGAGACAGACGATGATCGGTCCGCACTCCGCGGCGGGACGCGTTTCAAAACCCTCAATCGTGATCGCTGGTTCCTCTGACCACCCCACGCGCTCGTACGAGAGCAACGTGTGCTCAGCACGGCGAGCAAAGTGTAGCAGCCGCGCCTGTGGCAAACTGGATGCGAGGAGCGTCAACTCGCTTGGCATCATGCGCGAAATGTCATCCGATCGACACAGTCCCGCTGTTTCCTCGGGCTCCATCGGGCTTCGCACGAGGCCCATCGGAAAGCCCTGACGCTCGCGCTGACGCGGCGCTCGGCGAAGAGGCCCGCGCCCGCTCCCTCGTCCTAAACTGCGCACCATGTCTCGCAACTCGCGCAAATCTTGGAGCTTCTTACGAAGCGAATCGAGCTCCTTCCATCCCGTCTGCTGCCACAGACCGCGGGTGAGATCGAATCCTTCGGGACCGTCCGCGAGATCGTCCAAGTTTAGACCCTCAAACGCTTTTGCCGCCTTGTCGAGCTTATCCACCGCTGGCTCCCACTGCTCCTTGAAATCCTCCATAAGTTTCTGCACCATTTCCTTATTCTTCTCCTTCGCTTGCTCCTTCGCTTGTTCCTTCGCCGCCTGCTCGGCATCGACGCCAACATCGAAATCGTCCACGTTATCGTCGCCGTCCACATCGTCCCCACCCCCTCCCTGGCCGCCCGCCTGACTCTGCTCCTCGCCGTCGCCATCCTCGTCGGAGTCATCTCCGGCGCCGCTCCCCTGGGCCTCACCCTCGCCCTCGCCGTCGCTCATACTCTGTGAATCCTGAGGATCACTCGGCGGCATCTCCGGTTCGCCGTCCTCTTCCACGCGATCGCGTTCGTAAATGTACAGAATATCCAGTATGTTCTTCATGAGCGTGTCCAAAACCGGTGGAAACCGCCGAGTGAACCGCGCCATGTCTAAATCCCCCAGCGCCTCGATCATCGCCTCGCGAAACGTGTCGTCCTCGGGCCAAATCACGTCGGCGTCCGGTAAGAGCCCCCTGGACAAGGCGTTCTTCCACTCCGCCACCCCCGACGCCGACCGTCGCAGCGCCTCGGCGTCTCCGCCCGCGCTCGGCAATCGCAACAAAAACGGCAGCACATCCTCGGGAATCCGTCCCATCACCGCCGCCCCCTCCACCGTTCCCGACAACCGAGCCATGTTCATCAGCGCCGTCGCGCGCGCGTCCCCGTCCCCGTCCGCGTCCGCCGACGCCCGCGTCCCGCGCGTCCCGAACGCGTCGTCTGCCCACGTCCCACCTCTCGCCGCGCCGAATCGCGCGAGCGCATCCGCGGCTTCGCGCGCGTCCTCGCCGCCCCCCCCGACGACGTCGTCCCCCGTCGACGTCGATCGAGGCCGTCGTCGTCGCGCGCGCGCATTTTTCCGCTCGAGCGCCGCGCACATCCATCGCGTCCGCGTCGTCCGCGCGCGCGTCGCGGCGGACCGTCGGACGAACGTCCGCGCGCGCGCGCGGGCGAGGGACATCCGTCCCGGCGCGCGCGCGTCGGCGTCGGCGGTGTCGACGTCGACGTCGATGTGTGGAGACGGCAAAGGCGTGACGTGGGTGTCCGTAGGGTTTAGGCCGTGTGTCCGTAGGGTTTATGTCGTGTCCACGACGTCGCGTGGACGTCCATGGGGACATGTCGTGTCCACTACGTGCCGTGCCCGTCCACGGAACGCGTGCGTGGCGTCGCCCGCGATGGATGAATTGAATTCAAAAAAAAAAACATCGACGCCGCACGCGCGCGCGCGCGAGCATGGCGCCGGCGAACAAGCGACGATTGCCGCGCAGCGTGGTCGAGACGGCGACGCGGCGCGCGCGCGAGGGACGGACGGGCGCGGGAGACGCGCGGGAGGGGTCGGTGGTAACGACGGGCGATGAAAACGAACCGGGGAAAGATGCGACGACGACGACGACGACGACGACGACGACGGCGGCGATCGGGAGCGAATTGCCGAGAGCGAGCGAGCGCGTCGCCGCGGTGTTCGAGTACGACGGACCGATCGTGATCGCGAACACGGCGAAGGAGTTGGACGAGGCGATGGGTCGAATCGAGGCGATTCGCGGCGACGCGGATGACGGCTCGGCGGCGCACTGCGGATTCGATATGGAGTGGCGAGTGACGTTTAAGAAGGGAGCGGGGGAGTCGAAGACGTCGTTGGTGCAGATCGCGGCGGCGAGCGCGGATTTGAAGCGAAAGGTTGTGGTGTTGGCGAGGATACATACCGCCGGGTTGACGCGCGCGTTCAAGCGCTGGTGCCGGGATTCGTCTCGAGGGAAGACGGGATTCAACGCCAGAGGCGACGCGAGGAAGCTCGCGAGGGATCACGGCGTGGAGATATCGAGAGTGATCGAGCTCAACGCATTGGCCGCGGAGCGATTTCCGGGAGGGTGTCCGAGCGCGCCGTCATGGTCGCTCGCGCGGCTCTGCGAGCACGTGTTGGGAAAGACGCTGCCAAAGGACAAGACGCGCATGTCGAATTGGGAGCGGGAGAAGTTGAACGAAAATCAGATCAAGTACGCTGCTATGGATGCATGGGCATCTCTCATGGTGTATCGTGCGCTCATGCGAAGGGAAGTGGTCGAAACCATGGGCGCGGAGCCGTATGAGTACGACCCTCTCCCGCCGGCGGTCGTGAAGACGTCGTCGGACGAAGACGAGAGCGAGGAGGATGAAGAAGCGTGCGCGCATTCTGACGACGACGTCGACGATGATATGGTGAACGTACTCGATAACAAAGATGCCAAGGGCGACCTAACGCCGCAAAGCGCCAAGGTGAGCGGCAATGTTGAGTTGACGAGCGAGGAACGCGTCGTGTACGAATTGCACTTGTCGGGCATGAAACCCGCGTGCATCGCTAAAGAACTTGGCGTAACAGAACATATCAGGAACGTGGTGATGATGCCTCTCACCCGAGCGCTTCGCAAGGGATGTGCGTTCTATTACGACCTGCTAGACGTCCCGCAGGATATGACGCTGTGGTTCAGCGACTTTGTGTACATGAATAGCCGCGGACCGAAGATGGGTGATTTCACGAGTCAGTTCGAAATTACTCCGGAGAACGCGCAGATATATCTCATCATGATGGCGTTGAAGTTCGCAAGAGATCAAGAGCGTAGGTAGAACAAATATTTTATCAAAGCGTATTCTAGTACCAACGGCAGAGCACAACACGTTTCACTTCATGGAGGTCTGACGTTCGCCTTGATCCAGGCTAAGACTTTCACAGGGATCGATCTTTTACCCTGCATCCACGCGTCGATGATCGGTGAACCAATCAACTTTTGAGGATTACCGATACCCCACGGACCGCTCAAGTTGGGCCACGTCTCCTCGGGCCAGTTCTGCAAGTGGCCAATCCATGTTTCGTGTTCAAGCGAGCCAGCTCGAGCGAGTGGTTGGTTCGGTCGGCTCGAATAACAGCACGCGATATCGGGCATGGTAAGGTTGCCTTTGCGATTCGCAACCAAGTGTTGAGTCGGGTCGGCGACCTCCTGTTTGTGCCACTGTAACATCGTCGCCCCACTGTAACCAGGTCGATACGTCTTCTCCACTCTCGCAACGATTTTGTCGCCTCCGCCACCAGCGCCGACACCCCACGCATTCACTTCGTCTTCGCGCACGGCGACCTTATCGCTAGTGTATCCCATGTGTTCGGGAGCGGGACTCGGTTGCCAGAATTGCTCTGTCATCGCGTAGAAGTGGACGAGCGCCGCAGCGAGATCGTGTCTGGCGCACTTGTCTCGAGGCAACTTTATGAGCTCATCTCGAAGCCAAAGCAAAGACTCCCTCAGATCCATCTTCCCCTTGCGGGCCTTGTCGGCGATAGCTTCGACTTTACTCGTCCACTTCACGAATTCATCTGCGTCACGTTTCCGCTCGTGAGGACCCATGGCGTTTAGAAGTCCGCGAATGACCGATCGATCGAAGCCATCCGTACCGGTTCCCCAAAACTGTACGGCAACCTCGTCGTCGGTGAGTCGCACGAACGGAGGCGGTGCGCTCTCAAACTTGTCCAGACACTCGTACACGCTCTTCTGAGCCCCCCCGTCCCGCGCGCGGGTCAATACTCTTCGCAGCTTGCTGAGCATGATGGCGATACTCTGAGTTCTATTCTCGCGAACAGCGAGAGCGTCAATCTTGGCAAACTTTTCGTTGTACGTGAACTCCATCCCTGGACTTTTCAGCAGCAGCTTTTCGTGCTCCTGTTTTGCCGCCGCGAGGATGTGTTTCGGCAGCTGATTGACCTCCTCTTCCATGTATATCGCAAGATCACCCACGAAATGAAGGAGCCAGCTGGGACAGCACTTGAGAAGCCCTTTGCCCGGGTAAAATCCAACCTGTTCAAGGCATCGCACCTGCTTTGGATTGAGAGGCTCAGCAGCTCTGTCGATGGCTTTGAAAGCGATCACCTGCCTATCGATGAGCTTGTGCTTGGTGTTCAACACTTGGGAGTTGTTGTCTTCGCCGACAAAGTTCAGATACGAACCTCGGCACATGCGCGCGCCACACAGGCAAAACGCAGCCTCTACCTCCTTCATGTTATCAGTACAGCTGTGGTAATTGTACGCCAACTCCTCTCCGGGCTCGATGTCTCGGTTGGTGATGAAGTGAATCTCGTACTTGCCATTGATCGCCTTCAGGTTCACCTCTACGTTTGGATCACACGTATGCGACAGACGACCTGCGTAGTTGTTTTCGTGCATCGCGTCGCAGAACAACACCGAGTATCCCTCTTCGTCGCCCCCTGGTCGCTCGATTTGCATATTGTAAAACTCCGGTGGACCCTTATCTCTAAGACCTCTGTTCTTCTGTACCAAACGAATCGCGTCCTGCTTTTCCGCCCACGCCCAAGGCGGATAGATCTCACCGAGGAAATCGATAAGAAACTCACCCTTCTTAATCGGTTCCTTGCACACGACGCCGAAACCTTTGCGATGCACGGCGTAGAACTCGGGAGACACACGTGACTCGGACGCGAGCTTCCACAGAGCTTTGGAAAATGCGATACTTTTCATATCGTTCATACGCACGCCTTGGTTCTCGAACTTTTCAGCAAGATCCTCCGCGGCGAGCGCCAGACTCTGTGTTGCCAGCGTGTCTGGTGTCATGGCTCCATAGCTCTCGTTTACTTGCGACAGAAGGTGCTTGTAGAGCGCCCACACGTCATCCTCAGAAAAGTCTGGAAGAACTTTTTGAAGCGTGGTCGTCGCGTCGCGACCGGTGACGAAGTCACAACCGTACGTCTCCTGTTCGATTACCTCCGTGACAAGCTTTTTACGCTCTGCTTTGACTCCTAGCGACGGCCACCATCCCGGAGGATGTCCATCGTCGACGTTCGCCGTCGACGTAGTCGACCCCTTGACGTACGGATGGTTCTTCGCGAGCGTCACCGAGCGCTCGATTTGACATTCCAACTCATCCTTACGATCGACGTACTCTTCAATCACGGTAAACTGCGTGCGTAGGGCTGTACCATCGGCATTCTTCTTTTCCGCCTTTTTCACGCCCGCCGCCTTGAGCACAGTCAACGCGGCGATCTTGAAGCTCTTACATACCACTGACAGACGCCCAAGCTCTTTCTCCACCTCCTCGCGCAGTTCTTCGGCAGTTTTTTGTTTCTCTTCTTTGATCTTTTCCTTGACCTTTTCGCGCCCTTCGCTCGTATCGCCCTCCCTCTTAACCTCGCCTGTGGCGGTGCCATCTAAAATGAAACCGAACACCGTCATCAAGTTGCGCAGTGAAAGCTGATTGATCGGCCCTGGAACGAACGATTCATCGACCTCTATGATGACATTCTTCGTCAACGACTTGGCCTTTTTCGGTTTCGCGCTCCCACCACCGCCGCCACCACCGCGGTCCACTACTTTTAAACCGACGTGATCAAACCAACGGCCGATGAACATCTGCGGCGTCGGGCCGGCCAAGTACACGCGCACTGAAGCCTTGTACTTGCGCGTCGCTCCCCGACCGCAATGCGCCTCCCATGCTGAACCATAAAACATGTTCCCATCACCCTGGCCGGTGACGTTTGCGCACATGTGCTCGGGCTGTTCGCAGTAGCATCTAAAAATGTTACGTCTAGGAAGATACACTCCTCGATGGGAGTTGCACGTCACGGGAACCTGCACCGGGATCGTTCCGATCGACGCCGGCGTCGGATAGGGTCGGGGCGTGCCCGGGACCCAATCCACAGGATCCTCCGGTCCCTCCTCGATCGGTGCGCTGGGTACGGCCTCGTCTATAATCGGTTTTGGTTTGGGCTTTGGCTTGTCCTCGAGCTTGACCGAGACGCACACCAAGCCGTTCGGTACCGGCCCTTTCCCATTCGCGAAGTGCGCGTAGTGATCCTGCACGGCCTTCTGATGTAAAATCTTGCGAATGCCCTGATCTCTATTGAAGTCGTCGATCTCCTCATCCGCGAGCTCCTGAGGCGCCGAGCACGACGCGTGCGCCTTGTCCGCGTTCATTGCGCACACAAATCGTTCCCTATAAGAACTCGCCAACTCCTCGCTCACGGTGTATGCCACCTTCCGCCACTTCCCACAACCATCAGTCTCGCACTGCACCCACCCGTACTCGTCGAACGGCCCCGGATGCGGCGGCGCCGACCCCGAGCTCGCCGCGGCGCCGTTTTTCCCATTCTTTGACTTTTTCACCAACTTCGTGTACGTCCCGTCCTCGTGCAACTCGATCTCCCCTCGCGCCTCGCGCTGCCTCAAGTCATCCAACCGCTTTCGCTTCTGCGTCATCTTCACCCGCTCGTTGATCAATTCCTTCCGAATACGCGCCCGCGTCTCGTCGTTCGCCTTGAGCGCGTCGTCGAACATCGCGTTGATCTCCCTATCCGTCGCCTCCTGACTCCTCCGGCACGCGTTAAACCGTCCATCGCGTCCATCACCGCACACAAACGTCCCCTTCTCCCCCAACGCCGTCTCCACGCACCTCGGCACTCGTCTCCACCGGTCGCATCGTTCGCACTGCAACCAGCTCTCGCGCGCCGCGTCCGCCCCTCGCCTCGGCGCCGCGCTCATCCGTCGCCACGCCTCGTCGACGTCCGAGACGACGCCCAGCTCAACGTTCGCCCGTCGTTCGACCTCCTCTCGCAGCGACGCGCGCTTGACGTGCGCGATCGACCCGATCGCGTCGCCCTCGAGCGACGCCCGCATCGTCACGCTCGGTCGCAATCGCGCGCGATCTCTGAGCGATCTCGCGGCGGGCGACGGCGCGCCGTCACACAAAGTCTCGCGCGCCATCCCTCGCCCGCGCGCGACGCCGTGCTCTCGCGCGCGGCGATCGCGCGGTCGTCGTCGCGCGACGGCGGGCGATGGGTGATGGGTGATGTCGCCCGGTTCTGAGTCGTGAGTCGTCGATGGGGGACTCGGATCGGTACGCGTTTGTGATTCGTCCACGACACAGTCCATCGACGCGCGAGTCGTGACTCGTCGACGACCGCGCGCGACACCATGAGACTGTTTACCCACACACCGAGCACGACGACGCGGCGACACCCATCGCGACGCCTCGCCGCTCGACGCGTCCTCGCGCGACGTCTCCGTCGTCCCGCGACGCGGCGTCGCGCGCGCGCGGACGTTCGACGATGCGCGCCGTCGTCGCGCGCGCGGTCGACGCGTGCGCGCGCGAGGGACGCCGCGCGCGCGCGAGAGACGCCGCGCGACGAATGTCCGCGCGCGCGCGATGGACGACGGGACGCGGCGGCGCCGGGACGCGCGCGACGCGCGCGAGAGAGCGAGCGTTCGCGGGACGACGCGCGTGTTCGTGCGCGCGCGCTGGGGTGGAGGACATCGGGACGATCGAGGTGTGGTGTCTCGACGGGACGACGCGCGGCGGCGACGCGGCGGCGACGACGTCTCGGGCGAGCGCGCTCGCGGGTGAGGATGAGGTGGAGGCGTTGGGTGGGAATTCAGCGCGGTTGATCGCGCGGGCGTTCTTGCGGCGGGTGTTGGCGACGCACGGGGGAAGGGGGGTGAAGGCGAGGGAGGTGCGATTCGAGCTGGGCGAACGCGGGAAACCGCGCGTCGTCGCGCCGCGCGCGTTGGAGGGGACGTATTTCTCCCTGTCGCACTGCGATGGGCTCACCGCGGTGTGCGTCTCGACGCACGGGGAGATTGGGATCGACGTGGAGGATGAAAATCGAAGGATCGGATCGGATGTGATGAAATTCGCGAGACGGTGGTTGAGCCCGAACGAGCGCGAGGCGTTGGAAGCCGTGCGCGACGACGACGAACGCGCGCGCGCGTTCATGCGTCTGTGGACGGCGAAGGAGGCGTACGTCAAAGCGCTCGGGTTAGGGATCGCGGGGAGACCGTTCCGCGAGTTCGATATCGATTTCGGATCGTCGCTCGACGTGCGCGACGACGCGGCGAGCGACGGCGGCGCGTCGTGGCGACTCGCGCAGTTCAGGCCGCGTGCCGACGACTCGCACGTGTTATCGCTGTGCGCGCTCGCAAACGCCGATGGGACCCTTCCGCCCGTTCGCGCGCGGTGGGCGACCCTGTTCGACGACGACGGCGTCACCGAAGCTGACTTTGTCCTATTGAACCAGTCTCGTCGCGAGTAGCTCGTAACCGCACACCGCGACGTCCGGGACGTTCGGGCACGAATCCAAGCGCTCAGCCGAGCGCGTGTAATATTTATTATCCCAACGATCGAGGAGAGAGCGATGACGGACGTCAACGACGATCTCGATGCCTTGCCGAAGTGCTCGCGCCCCGACGGTAAATACATGTGTCAACGCCTCGGGTGCGACGCCCTGTACCTCCCTGGGCCGACGAACGTCGACGGCGAGTGCGTGCACCACGTCGCAAAACCTGTCTTTCACGACGGCGTGAAATCGTGGCCATGCTGCGGGAAATCATCGCACGATTTCGGGGAGTTCATGAGCATTCGCGGGTGCGTCTCGGGACGGCACACGTGTCGGAAGATTACGTACGAAAACGACGCGAAGGGTGACGGGAACGTGGGCACAGGTGGGTCTGGTGACGCTCTCAACGCATCGCCAGCGCCGGCGCCGATGCGAGCGCCCATCGCGTCGACGTCGGACAAAGCGCTCGGGACGCGCGGCCCGGACGCGCAGTGTCAGAGGTGCGCGCAGGGGTTTTATTGCGCCGAACACGCGTCAAACGACGCTTCGGAGAAATCCGTGGAAGAAACAAAACCCGAACCGATCATAAACGTCGATCCCGACGCGTGGCAAACGTGCAAGCGTCCGGGATGTGGATTGAAGTTCCGCGAACGGGACAACGCCGGCGACGCGTGCGTTTTTCACTCCGGCGCGCCGATTTTCCACGAGACCAAGAAAGGGTGGTCGTGCTGCACCGCTGACAAGTTGGTGTACGATTTTGACGATTTTTTGAAGATCGCACCGTGCGCTCGAGGGCGGCACGACGCCAACGCGGCGCCCTTACAGTTTCAGCGCTCGTCCGCGACAAAGAGGTAACAACGCACCGGGACGCGTCGTCCGCAGTCGACGACGCATCATGAGCGAGTACGAAGATGCGCGCGCGAAGACGATCGCGCGCAACGCCGAGCGCATGCGCGCGTTGGGCGTGAACGCCCTCGCCAAGGAGCTCGCGCCGACGAAGAAGCGAAAGGTGTCCGCGGAGGTCCCTCTGAGCGCGCCTCGAAGAACCTCCGGGAGAGCTCGCACGAAGCCGACGACGTACAGCGACGACGCAGCGTTCGCGGCGATCGAGTCTGAGGTCGGGACGTCGAGCGCGCGCGCGGTGCGAAAGGCATACGATCCATCGGTACCGCCGAACGACGCGTTGCGGAAGAGCGCTCTGACGGCGCGAGACTGGCGAGGTAACGTCAAGAGACATCCGACCAAGGGACACCTGATCTTCTCGGATCGACCGGACTTCAAACCGAATTTAACCCCAGCGCAAGTAATTCGCGCGGGGTCGTGGGGTGGATGTTACTTCCACCCGCGAGGTGGGAAGCCGGGGATTCGAGGCCCGTGCGACATCGACCCGAAGGAGTTCCCGCGCGAGTGGTTCGAGGGTTTGGATAAGACGATGTACGCGAGTCGGAGGTATAACGTTCCGACCAATATGTACGGCGTCAAGGCTGGGCAGACGCAGGAGTTCTGGGAGGAGAAGGGTTGGATCGACGCGCGCGATCCCAGAGGGTGGTTTCACTGGTATTGCAGGTTCTTTCAAGGACGAAGGATTGACGACGACGATAGACAGATATCGCGCTGGAAAGGGGTGTGCGGAGAGAAGGGTCGCTGGAAGACGAATTTAATCAATAAAATCATCGACGCAAACGCGACGCACGACGACTCTCGAGTTTCGCCCGTGGTGAGACAAACGTTGCTTCACTGGGCGTGCGAGATACGAGAAGAAGAGGTTCTCGCGTTAGCGAAGAGGCGATAGCTCGCCACGAGTTGTACATAATCAATTCATTCTACATTGTTTCTCATCGCTATTTCTTCTTCAGCACACCGCGCCGTCACTCGGCGAACGCGCCGAGCTCGGCCATCTCGTCGAGGAAGGAGAGATACTTTTTGTCCTCGACGTTCGGCGCCGAGTTGATCGCGTTACCCGTCGCGACGCGTTGACGCTTGCCTTCAGGTGCCTCCTGGCGCTTCACGCGAACACTCGCCGGTACAAGTCGCTTGAGTGCGACGTTTTGTTCCGCCCGAACCATGGGCGTCGCCGTCGGCGCCGCGCTCTTTGTGAACGCGGACGGATCCACCGGCGCGCGAGGGGCGGAGAAAAACCCACCCTCTCTTCGCGGCGGTGGTCGTCTCTGCGGCGGCGGCGGTCGTCTCGGCGGCGGCGGCGGTCGCCACATCACGCCATGCGGCGCGTGACGCGCCGCCGCGGTCGTCTCCTCCGCCTCTGGCGGCGCCGTCGGCGGCGGCGGGAGCGCCCCGGCGGCGGCACACTCTT